GCCGGCCGGCCCTTCCCCGCAGGCTTCACCCCTGGCACCGGCACCGCCTCCCTCCTGGCCTGTCTGCATTTCTCCAGGGCGCTGCTTCTCCCCTGACCCACACTGTGCATTTCCTCCCCCCCTTAGAACGGTGGCCTCCACAGGGGCAGGGATTTTTGTCTGTTGGCTGCCGCAGTGGTGTCTGGCACACAGTAGGTGCTCAGAAACTTCATCCTTGCCGTGTGTTTCTCTGGGCTGCCTTTGGCTGGCACTGGAAGGCTGGCCGGCCTATAGAGGAGGAATTCACTGCTTGTGGCCATCTGTCTTCCTCCATCTCACAGTCTTCACTGTCACTAGATAGGACTTGTGTAAGGATTTAAAGGGGAATTGAACAATATTTTGCTTCTTAAAGGGAAAAATGAGGCACAAAGGAATTAGAACCAGGATTCCTGCTTTAGATAAAAAGGACGAAGGAGTTCTGTTTCTGCTATTTCAAGAAAACCTTTTTTATTTTACATTCATGTTCTCTGAAGTTTCTGGAAAGTGATCAGAAAAGTAAATTGACTGTTTTGCAGTCTCTCTTATTTACAGAAAGACATTTGGCAAAGTAGGTCGTTTACGGAAAAACTCCAGACTCCAGATGTGACCGGGTGCCCCTGGGTGGAAGCAGGCCCACTCTGGGCCGGACCCTCCGTCGCTCCCTCCCCTTTACCTGTAGCCACACAGCGAGCTGACGAGCTGGCCGTGTGCCCCGCGTCCCCGAAGGGAAGACCTTCCTCAGCTCTGCTGGGCTCCACCCCCCTGCCCCCCGCAGCCCACTGTCCACAGCCCCACGGGAGGCAGCCCTGGCCCTCTCGTGCTCACGTCTCCCGTGGGTCTCCACTGCCTGCAGACACAGCTGCCCCAGGACTTGGCTAATCTGTGTGACAGGCCTCCTTGGCCCACATCCACACACTGGCGACACTCAGCGGTCTGCAGGGCTGTCTCTGGGCCCAGACCGTTTCCTCCCTTGCCTCCCTCCGCTGCTTCAGATTCGGCGCCCTCAGCAGCATCTGGTCGGGGTCCCTCCTCGGTGGTGCCACAGGGTGCCCAACAGGGAGTGAGTTCCTCGGCGTGGGAGCAGATGAGGGGCGGGGAAGGAAGGGGAGCAGGTCCTCGCGTGCAGCGCAGCCCTGCTGTCACAGGGTCAAGCACCCTGTGTGTAGTGGGAGGGTGCCCCACTTCACTCGGCCCAGAGAACCAGGTGGTCAGCACAGAGAACTGGCCCCTATAGCAGTGCTCATGAGAGACAAGCATCTCAGAGACGCTGGGAGACAAGTGCTGTTAGAGCTTGTCTCAGCTCAGCTTCCCTCACTTCTGGGGTCACCGTCTCTCACCTGGTTGACAGATACCCTGAATCCCTGCCCCCCCATCTGCCATGACGGGCCCGGGCTTGCTTCCCTGCATCTAGCCCCAAGCAAGCTGAAACCATCTGGGGGACAGATCCTTACGAGACTTTCCTTTTCTTGCCTTGCAGACGAAGAAGTACGCTGATGTGATAATCCCTCGAGGGGTTGACAATATGGGTAAGGACCAGGCCTGCCGGCTGCCCCCACTCCTCCCAGGACCAGGAGGCAGGCACTGCCCATCCTGTCGTGGTTACTGAGACACCCCCAGCGCGTGAGGCCTGTCTGTGTACATCTGGGGCACAGGTTTCAAATGTACTTGGAAAAACAGTTAACACATTGTACACGTTAAACTGACACAATGCATTATGTCAATTATATCTCCGGGAAGCTGGTGGGAAAAAAAAAAAAAAAAATATGGAAAACTGACAGGGAGTCACTCATTAGCAGAAGGTATCTCAACCAGAGTTAGTTAACAGAAACCCTCGCCGACCGAGCCAGGTAGGTTTTATTGTGCTCAGGCCCCAGCGTGCACTTGTCTGTCTGCTGAGACTCAGCGCCACACAGATGCTTCAGGGAGGAAAACTGTGTGCTTCACCAGTAACGCCAGGTTGGCGCTGGGCGGGCATCGCTCCCGGCGTGTCGCGATGGAGCGTGGGGGCAGCTGACCCCGCTCTGTCTGTCTCTGCTGCAGTGGCCATCAACCTTATCGTGCAGCACATCCAGGACATCCTCAACGGCGACATCTGCAAGTGGCATCGCGGAGGGTCCAACGGGCGCAGCTACAAGAGGACGTTTCCTGAGCCGGGAGACCACCCCGCAGTGCTGACCTCTGGCAAACGGTCGCACCTGGAGTCCAGCAGCAGGCCCCACTGAGGAGTGGGGTGCTCAGCTCCCGCGGGTCCAGAGATGCCCCCCTGCCCCTAAACACACAACCGTGGCCGGGGTGGTGCTGGAGTCCAGGCGTCCCTCGCTAATTCAGGAAACCTGGACGAGTTATTCAGACTGGGTCTGACAGGATGTCTGCAGGCAGCCCTGACCTTTCCACCCGCTTCCTCACATCACAGAGGCTTAAAGGTCTCTTTAGTTACTGAGAAACGCCACAGAACGTGTGGTGAGCGAGTCACATATTTGGGGAACGTTGAAGAAATAGCCCGGACGCTGTGATTTTGACGGTGAACCCACAGCAAGAGAGACTAGTATGATCTGGTTCACACACGTGTAACTGAAAAGTGTGAAGAGGTAATTCTCTTCCTTTTTATGTGTTATACAACCACATGTTTTCTGTTGTAGTCCGTCTCCTGACACCATGCTCGCTGTGACCTAGTAACCCAATATCATGACCCACCAGCAGGGTTGTGCTCCTGGTACACACTGACCTGGTACACCAGGGGCCATAGACAGGCTTCCTTCCTTCCGGCCTGTGCTCGGAAGGCAGAGCCAGGAGGGAGCCCTGGGGAGCAAGCTTTTCCTTAACCAGCACCAAGCACAGGCGGGGCCCCCGCTTGCCCAGCCCGAGTCCGCCTGCTTGGGGGTCTGCCTTCCGGCGGGCACAGCGTCCTCACGCAGGCCTACTCAGGGCCCCTGAGCCCAGGCTGCTGTCTGGACAGGTCTTTCCTGGTGTCGCCCTCGGCCAGGTCAAGGGCACGTCACCTCCAGTCAAGGCGTGTGTGGACCAGAGAGGTGTGAGCAGATGCCGCGGCCCAAAGGTGGCCAGTCTCCTGTGCTCACGCAGCGTCCGCGCCTCACAATCAGTCATGGTCTTGTCCTCGTTTGTCCTCCCTCCCACGTGGCTGTTTCTGTAAAAGCCACCAGCTGTCAAGTTCTAACTGTAGTTACACAGAGACATCAGTTGAGCTCAGCTGAGCACGGTGGCTGGTTTCTGATGACTGTGAAAGTTTTGTCAAACTTACTGTGCCGTTTCGGAGAGAGATCCAATAAATAATACCAAATATGAATGTCACTTTGTCCCTTTTTAATTACATTAAGAAAAGGCAAATTCAGGACGAGGAAATGTATGGATGACACAAACCCTGACGGTTAGGAGGCTAGTCGCTCACGCACCTCTCAGCAGGCTCTCCGGGCAGCGGTTAAAGAGTCAGCGATGGCGAGGAGGAATGGCCAGCCTTGCACAACCTCCTCAGGCCGGCATTGCAATAGCTCGTGTGCCCCTGAACCATGAGGGTGACTCCCCGCGGCCTCACGGGGTCAGCAGGTCAGCGGGCCAGTCAGCCAAAGCCCACCGCCAGCCTCTGACAGCAAGACCGGGGCCTTGTCTGGTTCGCCCCAAGCCGGCCCCTCCCTGCCTCCATCTAGGCCGACAGGAGCCCCACGCCGGCCGCTCCACACTCAGCTAGTTCACGGGGCTCCTAGGAGTCAGCAGACATGGAGGGCGTTGATCTTTATGGTCCGGGGGAAAACAGACTTTGCTCAAAACGAGGTGCTCGTCAGAGGACTGTTTCAACAGCAAAACCAGAACAGAACCCCTGCCGAGCCTGAGTCCCCACCAAGCTCAGAGCCACTCTGCGTTGTCAGAAGGAAACGTGCTCACAAAAGACGGTTCTACTTTGTCCTGACCCGGCCCTGCCGTCCGTCACTGTGTCCGCATCCTACTAGTTTTTCCGGATCAGGATATCCCAGCTGTCTTTCCAGCGAAGGGCCTTGAGTTCGCTGGGTGAGAGTGACCTGTCCCCGTAGGTTAGCGGGCGCAGCGTGTTGGACACATGACAGGCAGAGGCAAACCATGCCACGACCAGCGCGCCGAAGAGGCTCCTCTGGAGCTGGGACCTGCCGGCCCAGGGCAGAGCACGGGCGTGGGGAGGCCGGCCCGTCCCCACCACGATGTCCTCTGGGCATCCGTCGCCCACGTGGTCACCCACCTCGGCCTTTCCTTCCTCCGGCCACCCCCTGCCTGACCATCAGCCCTCACCACGTCCTGCCCGATGCGCTAAGCCCCACTCTCCTCATTCGCCCTTCTTCCAGAATTCCACAGCTTCTGCTCCATCTAAGGTCGGATGCCGGGGTATTGCCCCCGAACCCCCCGTGAGCAGAGTGCAGCCCTCCTGACGTACTACGAGGCTCCTGGGGACCAAAGAGAGAGGGCTCCCCCTCTGCCCTGGCCTCCCGAACTCGCTCCGGTTTACAAAGCTTCCTGGTTTATCTCTGCCATGCACCACGCAGTCCGGCCACGAACCACTGGCTGCTCCGGGTCACGTCCCAAGTTTCCCTGTCCTTCTCTTTGCTCCTGGTGCTCTCCAGGCCCAAAGGGCCTTCCCCATCTCCCGTGCACATCAGCCACCTTCCTCTCCCGGCAGCCTTCGTTAGCTTCATCCTCTGAACCCCTGCAGAGCCTTGCTTGTGATCCTAACCCCATCTGCATCACACTGGAATCACCATTCAAGACACCCCTGGACCCATACCCCCAGGGGGGCGTGGCTGCCAAGGCCCCGTACCTGCACAGGTGGTCGCTGACGTGCTCCAAGACCACAGGAAGCAGCAGGATCTGGAAGGTGAGTGCGGGCAGGTAGTGGTAGAGGAACAGCGTTTTCTCCATCATGAAGAAGGGCACGTAGTTCACGGCCCAGCCCCCGGCGCACAGAGCCCCGGCCAGTGCCCAGCGCAGCCAGCAATCTGTGGGAAAAGGTCATCTCGAGCCGGCGCTGCTGACGGTCCAGCTGGGAAGCTCCCGGCAGTCCAGCAGGCCGGCCTCCTCATCCGCAAGGTACACGCGAGCTCCAGCTCCTGATTTCTCTGTGTCCCCTCCCAGCCTTCGCACATTTCTGGAGGAAGGACAGACTGTGTCCTAAGAACCTCCTGTAACTTCCTGCTGGTACTACCGTCCCCTTCCTGAGAAATGCCAGCTTCCTGGGGGCCAGGCTCAGCTTATTCCCGACTGCCTGCTGGCCTTGGCTCACCCGGAGATTCCGAGCTGGGTCTCACTACTCAGGGAGCAGTGGAGGGGCTGGACCCGTGCACCCGCCCAGGAGAGCCGGGAGTCGGTGGAGAGAATGACCAGCTCGGAGCTGAGCCCAGAGAAGGCGCCTCCCTGCCCCTGACGGCCTTCGGGGCCCAGCCCTGCCCTGGGTGTTTGCTCCTTTCCTGTTTCAGGATGGTCTGAATGGGGTCTCTGTCCTTGCAAACCACCACCCTTGACTAAGTGCCCGCTGGCGCCTCTGTCCCATCAGCCACTTCCAGGGTGTCAGGCAATTCCTGCCCGACACCTGCACGTCCCCGGAGAAGCCTTGAAGGCGATGCGGGGACTGGACTGCAACATGCTGTCTCTGGGGAAGAGACAGAAGTTCCCTCGAGGCAGAAACAAAGAGGTGGCCTCAAGGCCCTGCTTGCTGGTGCGGCCGGGCTGACACCCGAAGCACAAGGATCTCCCGTCAGAACCAGAAAGAGTGGGCGTGAGACACGTGTGGGCAGCTGCACGGACCCTCAGGGAGGTCGCAGACTCTTCTTCGGCGTCTGAACAGGTACCAGATGAAGAGCAGGGCGTACACCAGGGTGGCGAGGCTGGCCGAGGCCCAGATCACGATGTTTCCGAGCAGGTGGATCTGTGCCTGCGGGCACACAGAGAGACCCTGTCACCTCAGCCAAGACGCCACAGCCCAGAGCAGACACGGGCACCACCACACCCTCCGCCCTCGCTGCCGGGACGGACGTGCGAAGGTCCTCAGCTCCGTAAGCTGAAACTGAGAGCCGGGAGTAGACGGGATTCTGTTCTGACAACAGAGCTGCTCCCAGGGGGCTGATGCAGACGCTCATCTCAGACCCCGCTTCCCAGCGAGCCGTGGCCCCCCACTTCCGGCGGGGAGGAAAAGGGTGAGCATCTTGAGCACATACCCCCCCTCAGCAGGTGATTACTGGGCACCCGCTACGTGCTGCGTTTGCTCTCCCAGGTGAAGAGAGACGATGCACAGGGACACAGAGCACTGACCGGCCCAGAGGCCATGTGCCACACGGGAAATCAAGCAGGGCTGTTTCAAAAACCACGTCTGCCAGAGAAGGGGAGCCATGCGCTCCCACCGCAGCCACCAAGCCTGGTTTCCCTCGACCTGTGGACAAGCTAGGACCCAACTCCTTGGCATCTCAGGGGAGCTCTGGCCTCGAGCTGCCAAAGCACTAAAAACAGGTCCCAGGCTTTTGTTAGGGAAGCGCAGGAAGGCTGGGACTTGGTCGGATGCAACAGCTGCTCTTAACATCACAGAACTCTCAGGCGCAAGACAGCTCTGCCACACAGACGCTCTGCTTACACTGGTCCTGGGGTGCAGCCAGTAGGCGATGTTGGTGTCTAGCATGACCCAGTCCAGCGGCGTGGAGCTGTATTTGTGTTCGGAATCGTCGCTTCTCACTGTCAGCATCCGCCACTGCGGAAAGCAGAGGCCGCTGGGAGTCACACGGACAGCCAGCCGCCTTCATCGCTCAGGGATCTGCCAGGGGGCAGAGTAAACCGCTGCCCCTCTCACGTGGGCGTCCGACCTCAAGTTCATCTAGATCATGCCACAGAGGCAGCGCAATGGGCCGATGAGCCCAGGAGGCGCCTACCCCTGGGCTCTGGTCGCCTCGTCCGTTTAAGGGATGGGACTGGGCACTAAGGGTGCTTTTAGATTTGGGACCCTGAGTCCTCTGGGGCTGCACCGTGTTGACCGTGGCCCGTCCTGCCCTGCCCTGCGTGCAGTGTCACTCTGCTGCACAGTCTCCTTGGCTCCTGACTGTTCCTGCCGGCAAAGCCACAAGGCAGGACAGCCAGGAGGCAGGGGACCGACAGTGCCAGGCAAGTACTTAGAGTGGACAGAGGGAAATGCTCCCTCCCTGCCGAGTCAGGTCCCGGTTTAAAGGCTGACACTGGGCAGGCGGGAGTTCTACAGACTGCAGTGCCTGCCCTGGCGAGGAGCCAGCACCCAGTGGGCAAGGTCGCCCCCCCCCCCCCCCCGCCCGCCTGTCACCTGCAGCTCCGAGAATCTGGCCATGAAGCTGAGGTTTCTGCTGACGTCTGTCTGCGTAGGGGAGTGCAGCTCCAGTTCCCTCTCCTTCTGCTCCTGGCCTGGCAGACACACCAGAACCCACAAGATACAAGCAGAACCAGGTCAGGGAGCTCCCAGTGGCAGCGCCAGCTGCTTTCCAAACAACCTGCCAGGACTCAGAGTGCGCCTCTCCACGTGGCTCTCCCCACAGCACACGGCCCACCCACCCGCTCAGCACCCTTCAAGTCAGAAAGCTCGGCTTGCCCTGCCTTCCAGGGACACCCGCCCCCACCCCGAGTCCTATCACCGCTCCAGCTACAGGGGGAGGGCGAGGGTCTGCAGCGGAGCACGGAGTGCACGCGGCCCCTCCCACGCGGCCGGGGCTCACTCCTGCCGTAGCGGTGTTCCTCCACGCTCCACATGGTGCTCCCGTGGTAGCCCCGGGACAGCTGCTCCCCGACCACCTCCAGCTGCCGAAAGCCCCAGTCCGGGAGGGGCGCCCCGCTCAGCTGGCGAAGAGAAGTGGGGAGGGTGTGAGGGCGGGCCCGGCTCAGCCTGGCCCCGGGGCACCCCACCCCGGTCACTTGGCCAGCAGCTGACAAGGGCGGCCGGCTCTGCTCTGGGGAGCGTCACGATAGGGTTCGGTTCTGAGCAGTCACAGAGGGCCCTCACCACTCCCACAACACGTCATTCTGTCCCACCTGGCAGGACCGTGGGAGGCGGCATCACTGACCTTGAGGATGGCTGAGGTGTTCACATGCACAAAGCGGACCTCTGACACGATGGTCTTCCAGACGTCCGTGTCCGACTCTCTGTTCACGATGTCCTGTAAGAGCAGGTCTGGTCCGTTATTTTACTCTTTTTCAAATTTCCTTAAGTGTAAAACCGAAGACCAGTCACCACGGTGAGACTGACATGGTCTGATATGAGGGGACAGTCCCCCAAGGGGAGCTGACGGCTGATCCCAGATGGTACCATCAACTTTATTGCTGACGCCTGTGCAAGGTGCTGGAGGGGGTGGTCGGGGGAGAGGACACTGCCCTCCTCCAGAGACTGCACAGGGCAGCCTTTTCAGTGGGGACTTAAGGACGGACGCTCACCCTTGAGCTTCTGCAACGCCTGATGCTGCGCAAAGATGGCGCAAAGGAAGGTCAGAGACTGTCCCTGAAAAGATGCCCTTACAGGGCACTCCTGATGCTGGGGAATAGAAAACTAACGTCTGAAGAGCTTGGTGCTGCCATATTTAACTTACTGGAGCCTGGCGATGACCCCGGGAAGTCACGTAGCTACTGACAAGAAAGAACCCGAGGGGCTAAGTGAGGACAGGACGAGGAGGCCAGGCCGGGCCTCACCCTCCGGTCAGCCGTCCTCTCTGCCTGTTCCCGGAGCTTCAGTTCCTGGAAACAGGGGCGTGTGGGGCTCAAAGTGCCACCAGAGGGGCTGAGGAGAAGGAAGGGATCGGCAATGGGCCTTAGCAGCAAGGGGAGTGGGTGAGGAGCAGGAAGGGATCGGCAATGGGCCTTAGCAGCAAGGGGAGTGGGTGAGGAGCAGGAAGGGATCGGCAATGGGCCTTAGCAGCAAGGGGAGTAGGCGGGGCCTCCAGGAGAGTCCTGGTGGTGAGGGGCTGGTGCAACGACTCACATCAGAGGAGCACTGCGGGAGGGGACAGAGGCAGCTGCACAGACACCTACTTGCGGCACAGAGCGCCAGCACAGAGACAGAGGCGGCCTCCCCGGACCCTGGTTTCGCAGAGGGCCAGCAGCGCCTGGCCTCACACCATCGAGAACCCGGCGGGGGGCCAGTGCTATAGGCGTGCAGCCTGTGGGGGCGGAAGGGGAGCCCGGCTCCCCCGGAGGTTAGCCCAGTGCAGCCACTGCACCGCCGCTGCGCTTCTCACGCGTGTCCCTGACTTCAGACGGTCCGACGGCCCAGTGACAGAACCTTCCTCCTGCCACTCTGCCCAGGGCACTGCCTGACCACAGGCCCAGGGCCTAGGAGGGCAGTGCCAGGAATCAACCCCCAGATGGCCCTGCCTGTCCCCAGGGAAACCCTTCTTAATCCCTGGTGAGGGTTGACAAAAGAGACTCCCAGTGTGCTCAGGGCACTGGTTTGGAGGCCAAACAGTGGGAGGGACCTTCTGCCAGCAATGCCACGTGAGCCCCATACAGAGTGCCCACCCGTCCATCGTACCATAAGCTCCTTCCTCTGATAGAAGAAAACTACCCAGTTCCCCCTTTCCGTAGAACAGGCAGTCACTTGTCCTAAGGGGCGGCTTAGAACGGGCTGTGCTGCCAGCGCGCACGGTCGCTGGGGTTAGACTCACCAGCCTCCAGAGGTTCTGGGCGGGCATGGAGACATTGTAGTCGATGTAGCAGGACACCTCCTGGGAGTGAGGGCTCAGGGGGGCCGCGACGTCGTGCCTGGAAAACCAAACAGCGCTGCCGAGGGGCTTCCCGAGCTCCTCTGAAAGGCGCTCACTGTGCTCTTACGGGAAAAAGAACGCTCTTCAGGAAACAAAGCCAGTCAGCCTTCAAGCACCGCGGCTGCCACTCCGAGGATGCAGCACGTAGGAGCCGGGCGATAAATCAAACACGAGAGGGCAGACTCTGCAATCATGACATCTCTGGGGGCACCTGGCAGACACCCATCTAAAGCGTGGGGCCTGTCATCCCCCTTTCAGAGGACGGGCTGAGCCTGGGAGCTCACCCGGCCAGCCGGCAGCAGCCTGAGGTCAGTTCTCGGAAATGGCTGGGGCGCCACGACTACTATTGGAGGACAACACGCCCAGAAACCCCGGCTCCCCTCGCCCACGCACTAGGAAACCGCGCTTCACCAGACTCTGCGCGAGGCCTCGCAGAGGAGCCGGGGACCCTGAAGCGAGCAGGAAGTCAGTCACGAGCGCAGGCCCTGTGAGTGCTACGAATGACACCCAACCAGGGCAGGCACAGCACACAGCAATGCTTTTGCTGCGGCGACATCTCAGCTGACCCCTGAATGAAGTGAGCGAGTGGGCCACGGGGTGGGGTGTGTGTGGGGGGACCTGAGTTGAAGAACGTTCCAGGCAGACAGAGCAACTGAAGGCCCCAGGGGGGCTGCACATGGTCATTTTGGGGATAGTGGGGGGCTAGGGTGACTGGAGTCACGGGGCCAGGTCCCGGGGGCCTGCAGCCAGCGGAGGGGTGGGGTGTGATTCTGAGTGTGACAGTCACACTGGGATCTCCGCAGAGACGTGAGGTCACTGAGTAGAGTGTGTGTTTTTCAGAGGGAGCCGTGGCTGCCGCGTGCAGAAGGGGGCAGGCAGTGGGGTTCCCAGCATCGCAGGACAAAGGGAACGGGGCCTGGGCGGGGCTGGGCGTGCAGAGAGAAGGAAGCGACCTTCGTGGATTTCCCGACACAGCGACTACAGGGGTGGCGGAAGAGGATGAGGATTGAGCAACCAGCTCCTTCCCCGGGAAGCAGAAGGGGAGGCAGAGAGCCCAGGCATCCAGCGGGGAGGCCGGGGCTGGGGCGCGAGTGTGGGGTCACTGAGACCCACGAGATGGCCCGAGAGGCCGGGTGGAAGGAGAGCAGAGGTGGCCCAGGCCCGTCAATATGCGGAGGCTGCCCAGAGGTCAAGCCAGGGAGGGTTCCTGACTCCATCCCCGAGCTGAGATCCTTCCTGAACTCACTTCTCCTTCCCACGGGTCCCCCATCTGCAAGGACACCCACACTTCATTCCAGGCAGGACTCTCCTCATCACCCCGGCCCGTCACCCCGGCCCCCCCCTGCAGGACGGGTGAGAGGCTGCTGTCCCACTCAGATCACTAAGGCTCTCCCCCTACCCTGCGACCACCACTAGGGGTCCCCTGCCCCCCCACCCCGACATCGAGGGCAGAGCCAGGCCAGAGGCAGTGGCGCACAGCAGCGGTCACGCTTTGCTCTGAACAGAGGAGGGGACTCACGTGTTGAGGAGGCGGGTGGTCATGCCGTGCGCCAGCTGCACGATGTCGCCGTGCCGCACAGGCCTCGGGGGGTTGTTCACCACCAGCTGGTGCCTGCAAGAAAGTGTAGCTGCGCTCACGGGGCGGCAGGGGCCCCGGTCCTCGCTCGCGCAACGTGGAATCGCACAGCCGCCCGGTCACCGTGTTCCTCGTGTGAGGTGAAAGCGTGTGAAAACACAGCGCGTACGTTTTATTTAACTCTCTTCTGAGACCTCAGGTCACTTTCCAAGCTTCCTGGCGTGGCCCCACTAGTAGCCGCCTTCACACTGACCGCAACTGCGCCATACCTGCTACGAATGCCCGCACCTGCCCCGAAATCCTTCTAACAGACTGTGGCTCCACGTTCGCTCGGTGAAAGTGGCAAGGGCCTATCAGACCCTGCCCCACGGCTGGGAGCTGAGCATCTGGCGGAGCCAGACGGACGTGGCCACCACCCTCAAGTTACTGCACTGAGTGGGAACTAGGGAGCAAACATATGGGCAGCCGGACAGCGGACACGCGGAAGCCAACGGGATGCTGACAGTGGGGAAGGTGGGGAGCCTGGGAGGCGGCCAGGCAGCGTCCCAGAGGGGCTGACTTTCAGGTGCTGAGTAAGAGGCCCTGGTGGGACCCTTCCAGGCTGTGGGGACAGCGGTGCAGAGCCTGTGGCAGGAGCCTGCCTTCCTGCAGAAATGAGGGGCAGGGTGAGCGCTGCGAGGGGAGTGGGGCTGGAGCCGGAGGGCGCGGCCCTGCAGACCAGTTGGGGACTGGATCCGTTCTAAGGGCCGTGGAGCTCGGAGCTCAGGGAGGTGTTTGAGCAGGAGCCTGACCTGACACCTGGGGGGGCTGTGGGGTATCGGGGAGGCAGGCGTGGAAACAGACTAATGGGGGAGACGGACACCCTGACAGCAGAACCAACAGGACTGGCTGGGACTGGAGGTGGGGATGATGGCAGGAAGGCGGGCGTCTGCAGGGCGGCGGGGAGTGGGGGCAGACCACGGGGTGGGGAGAGTCGGGACACGCCTGGCAACACCTGGAGGAGATGCTGGGCTCCTAAGTCCTGGACCGCGGGCTGGCCGGCACAGAGCCGGTCCCAAGGCTTCGCGGACGGGGCATGGACAGAGAGGAGGCCGGGACCAAGGTGAGGTGTCCCCGGACCTGTACTCACCTCCCGGGGTCCTTTACAATCCACCAGTTGTTGACATCCTTGAAGGGGTAGCAGGTCACCTGCTGCTGGTGGGAGCTGCCGCGGCCATTCTCGTATCTGCGAGAAGAGGGTACATCTGCGGGTGGGGCACCAAGGGGCCCGCGGCCTCCCCCTCCCCCCCACCAAGGTCCCTACAGACACCACCCAGTGAGCTGTCCAGATCCATTCACGCCCCAGCGGGGCTGAAGATGTGAGCCCAGGCAGTGCCAGTCCCTCTAGTGGTTTTACACGCAGAAATAACTAGTCTCGTCGATAATCGGGACCTGAGAGCTCAGTTTTTTTGTCTCGCAAACTTACTCACAGAAAGTGAGAGTTGGTAATAGCAAAAATGTGAAAAAACAAAACACGTTATAATCTTCGCATTAAAAACATCACTTTCCTTACATCACGGGGTAGGTGCTCTGGTGGGAATGAAGCCAGCAGGGCACGGGTTGGCCAAAGGCGTTCTTCAGAGTGACCTGGGAACCGTAGGCCACCTCCAGGGGCTGGCCTTGTGTGATCCGCGCCAGTCCCCCCTGAGACAGGAGCAAAGGGGTGGCCGGTGAGAGGGAGAGAGAAAGCGAGAGCGTGACACCTCCGCCAGCCCCTCCGCCAGCCCCTATGACAGCCGGGGTGTATTCCGGGTGGGGGCAGTTATCACTGTATCTCACAATTAGCTACGACTGCATGTGATATAATTCTGACATGTTACGCTGTATGACCACCGACCGGAGGCTGCCCTGGGCCAGGCGCTCACCTAGCCCCTCCCCGCTCGTCCTTGTGGCTTGCAGGATCTCTGCTCTCCCACTACGGGTTGAACCCGGGCCCCAGCAGTGAAAGCGCAGAGTCCTAACCACTGGACTACCAGGGAATTCCCCCCATTCGTCCGTATTTACTTCTTACAGGCATCCTGTGATAAGAGCAATTATGTCCGTCTAACTCTGGGGTGTGGGTGAGTGAAGAAATTTCCCCAGACACACAGAGCTGGCTGTCAGCAGAGCCGGCCCTTAAGAGCAGTTCTGTCCGACTTCAGAGTCTACCTTGCTGACACCACAATTGGAGCATTTTATTATTTTTGCAAAGTTACTTGAGCGAATGCCAGAGTCGCGTTTGTCCTGTGCAGCCTGGCCCCTGCCCAGCAGGTCACACTGCAGAGAGCGGACCCCTCGTTCCCTCCTACACCGTCAGCATGTTCAGAATTCGTGTAGTAGTAGTGAAGCGATGCCTCACTTCTCGTTTTGGTTTTTCCTCTAAGGCCCACTTGCGGTGTTTCGTAAGAAAACTCTGAGTCTAGTGTGGCCTTCTTTCTAGGATGGCTGGGGTGTCACTCTTACCTCCAAGCTGGCCTGGAAGGCACTGGACATGATTTGGTCGTGCGGCCCGGAGCGGCAGAGCAGCAGCAGGTGGACATAGAAGAACAGCAGGTACACGAGGACGGGGATGACCAACAGGGCCACCGCTCGGGCGAGCAGGTGACACAGCACACGAACCTGCCAGAGATGGAGGGGACGTCACCCCTGCTTTGGGGAAGGCGGGCCCAGGTCTGTCCCCCTCCGAGGCCTGTCATCAGGCGCTCCCTGCCCCCCGACCCCCCAGGGCCAGCCTCGCCCTGCCCAGGACGTCAGCACCTACGTTTGACAGCGTCTGGTCTCCTATCAGGTGCCAGGCGTGGACAGCGGCAACCCCAAGCACCAGTAAGTATGTGAACACACCCACATACTTGATGCTGAAGGGACACAACAGAGAGAAAGTTAAGACGAGACAAGCACGGAGGACATGGCTGCTGCCCCAGACCCGTGGAGCAAACTCACCCGACCGCACAGGCGCAGGCCACACCCGTCAGTGTCAACCAAAACCACCAGCTCGGAGAGAAGGGCCTGGAGCAAAGCACAGAAGCCGAGCTGGGAGATCAGAATGTCTCCCAAAGGCCAGAGAAGGTGCCCCCCTCAGAGATCTCGGGGTCAGCTGGCTGCACCAGGCTCTGGGTGCAAGGAAAGGACTCCTCGTCTCCCCAGGGAGCAGCCAGTCCTGACAGAATTCTCCTTTTTGGCCAGAACATCTTTCCAGTTAGTTTGAGTTACAGAAAGATGAGGATTATTTGTAAAGTCAGCCAAGAGCCAGTCGAGGTGCCTGGGGCGGCTCCCGTGCGTGGAAAGGCATCAGACCTGCTCAGGTCGACCAACCCCCCGGACTCCTCTTTCTTAGTAACTAGGAGAGCACGTCCCATTTTCCATACCCATGTTTCTGGGAGTTGGAGAACTTCAGGTAAGACAGCACGGCCAACAGGTTGAAAAATATCAACGCTGATTCCAAAAGCATCAGCCTCGACTGAGTGATCAGAGCGTTCTCTGTCGGGGAAATGACACGGGCGTCAGGTGCTGGGCAGCGAGGGCAAACGTCCACAAGAAAGGGCCCTTGTCAAACGTCCCAGAGCGTGAGAGTGGCAAGTTCGGGCTCGGGGTGGCTGGAAGGGGACACGCCCCGGAACCACGAAGGCCACTTCTGAGGTGTGAATCAAGCCTCCCGAGACCTGGGGGACTCTGGGGAAGTCACTGCCCTTCCTGAGCCTTCGTTTTCCTCGTCTGAGAAAAGAAATACAGATTCCGCAGGCTGCCTGGACATTCTAATACTCTGTGGGCACAGGGGCCCAGTTAGGGTCGTCACTCAGCAGACATGAATTCTTTTTATTTTCATCTGACTTAATGTCATTTGTTCATAGACCTGGGCCAAGAGATCCCTTCTGAGGAATACCCACAAATTCCTGAGTCCATCTCCACTGGTCAAGGCCTAGGAGGCGGGAGTACGGGGTAGCTTCTCATTCAAGGACAGACTTGGTTGCAGGGGGAGGTGCTCACGGCGGGCGCGCGCAGGAGTATCGTTTGGGGCAGCCCCGCTACACACGGCTGCACCTCCATGACGTCACAGTCTGCATACACAGCTCCACAGTCCCCCGGCCTGGGAGTGGGGTGACTCCCAGAGTCCAATCTGGACACACTGGATGTGCGTCCTTCCGTCCTGCGAGCGGCAGACACTGCAGGGGGCACGTCTACTAAACCCTGAGCCCTCCGGGGCCGCACAGACATAAACAAGGGCTGGCGCTGGGATCTTCCCTGCGCCCCACCAGGCCTTACCGATCAGAATCAGAAGAGCGGCCCCCACGGCGGCACAGTGAGAGAAGCCGAGCTCCCACACGATCTGGTAGGCCATGGGCACCGACAGGGCCCCCGCAAGGGCCGGCAGCAGGCGCAGGGACCACACGGGCACGTTGGTGCTGTATTCTGGAAGAGAACCACAGCGGGGCTGAAAGCACTGCGCACACACCACCTCCCTACACTGCAGTGTCTTTTCACACAGACTACCAGGCTCACAGACTACAGTGCAAGGCTGGGGGCCCCATCAGGGACGGAGTGTGCAGCCCACGGGCAGGGGCCTTGAGAAGCTCCGTGGGTCAAGGGCCAGTTCTCAGGAAGTAAGGGAGTGATGCCGAGGACTCTGAAGTGAGTTAATCCTTATTTATAAGTTTACCCATCTATTTCCAAAAACACTGTGGCAACACATAACATTCATACGTACAAAAGATAACGGCAATCAGGTGCCACATATGGCGAGCATGCTATGCGTACCAAAAACCAGGGATAAAATACTTACTGTAACTAAACACTAAGGAACTTACCGGACTCTTTGAAAATCTTTCACTTGTACCCAAACATTTACCATACCCTGGATTCAGATGAATAGACCATAGTTGTTAATCCCTATGAAAGCTACGACCTCTCCAATCTAATATATGCAAGTTAATAAGGGAAACGAAAACGATACTTCACCTGCTCCAATTCTGTTCCACAAAAAGTTACCATCAAATCCTCCTAAATAACCTAAAACAGAAGATTAATCAGTAACTATCCTGTTCAGTAAATATTTCTGAAGCACCAAACCGCGGCAGTCAATAAGGGAACAATAATAAAGAATAAGACACCGCTTCTGCCCTGAAGAAATTTCACCTATAAGTGTTAAAGGGCCACCTCTCTTACTAATGAATCCTACCTCCCAAGGCCAGCAGCATGTGGCCGAACGGTGGTCCGCTGCCATCCAAAAAGAAGATCCGCTTCATGTAAAAAGAGATGTACTGCCCATAATACACTTCATCAAAACTGCAAAGCAAACCCATGTTATAGTCAACTGGAAACCTTAACCGTACACAAAAGGCATGAGGATAAATGCACACCTGTGTCTCCAAAGGACTTTGGAGAGTGACCAGCAAAGGTCAGACTTTTGCCCCAACTATGAAGACACGTGTGCAGCATCACACATCCATAAGGACAGGAAGGGAAACGCCCCACGAAAGTTGGGAATTCAGGAGGCTTTCCTGACACAGGTTCTATTTCTCTCCCTATGTTTGGGTTTAGGGTGTACTGTGAGCCAGTCTCCAAAAGGCCTCCTGAACGCAAAGCTAGTCTGCCTGTCCACCAGCGTGCCTGCAGCTAAGAGACGGAATCAGACCTGGTGACCCGACAAAACAGGTGTAAAAGGGAGGCATGCAGGCGCCAGCCGCAACAAACCTCTTTCAATCAGGGACTTTCACTGACATTAAGGAACTGCTGGCAACTTGTTAGGTGTGATGATGCTACTGCGGTCACGTGATTTTTAAGAATCCTGATCTTTTAGAGATAGATACTGAATTGTTTACAAATGAAACACAGTGTTTATGATGTGCTTCAAAAAAATCCACTGCAGGGAAGGGGTTGGCTATGAGCTGGTAAGTGTTGAAGCTGGGTGATGAAGATACCATTCTCTGTATGTGTGTATCTGTTTGACGTTTGCCATAATAAAAAGTTAAGTGAAAAGGAACACATGTATTAATCAGATAACGAACAGCCCTTTAATAATAACAGCAATCATTTCCCATTACGACAAAGAACACACTCTAGTATCACTGAGGACTCACTTCCAAATTCCGCAATCTTAAGCCCTCCACTCTCCAGACTGTCAAAGGTCACCCAAGGCTACTGCACCCACTACTGACCTACGGGGCAAGACCAAACAGGTGGCCTCTGCAGGGGCTGTCCTGGGGACAAGCTGGTCTCTCCTCTAACTGCCAAAGACACCCATCACCAGGAAGCCCGGAATTTTACTCTCCCGTTTACGCTGTTCAAAAAGGCACTTCCTGTCACCTATGCACTGAACAAATTACAGTTCCTTCCGATGCACCCAAAATGGAGTTGCCTGGCTTACACCACGGCCCTTGGATAGGCAAGCTGCCACAGTCGGCTCAGCAACCCCACCGCGGTCAGAGCCACGACATTCAAGTTGATGTCAGCTGTCACCACCACAGGGCGCTGCAAAAATCCCAACATCTCGTAGAAAAGCGGGCCGGGGAGGATGCCCTGGAAAAGCAGGGAAGAGCTGTCGTCAGAACACAGGTGGCCCCCTGAAGGCTCGAAAGACGCTGTGACAAGACCCTGCTTTCACGAGCGGTCAACCGAGGTGGGAATCTGAGGACTCAATATTCACTCACTCCACCAACACCTGCTGGGCACTTCCGGTCAATGAGGCGGCCTCCTGGCCCCTCCCCACCTAGGCAGTGTGGCCAGCTTACAGCGCGGTGACCTCCACCCCCTGAGGCTCAGAGCCTCCACCTCTGCGCCAAGATCCTCCCTCCCCTCCCCTCCCGCCGCGGGCCAGCACCGTCCCCTGGGCGCCCCCTTTCTCACCCCGAGGGCGCATCTGCACTGGGCAACCCCGTTTCCTCCCCCGAGGCTCCACTTTTCTTAAGGCTGCATCTGCCTTGGGCACCGCCTTTCCCGCATCAAAGCTGCATCTGGCCTTCGGCGGTCCCCTTCTATTCTCAAGGCTGCATCTGCCCTGGAGGCCCGCTTCTCTCCCTGCAGCTACATCTGCCCTGAGCACCCCCTTCTCTCCAGAGACCCTGTCTGCCCTGGGAGGCCCCCACTCCTCTTCCCGGCACTCCCCTTTCTCTCCCGCAGGCCGCTATCTTTCCCGAAGGTTTCACCTGCGCCTCGGACGCCCCCTTCCCCCGGCACACCTGCCCCGGCCCCACCCCCGGGCCAGGCAAGACCTGCCGCCCCCCGCCACAGTGCCCCACAGACCGCGCACGCGCGTTCCGCACTGACTCTCCCGCTTGCGCCTGGGCTCTGGTCCACAGCGCCCCAAACGTACTCGCGTTTCTTCCAGTCTCCTCAGAGCCGCTCCCCGCGCCGGGCCACGCCTCGGACGCCTGAGGGCCGCCGGCTGGGGCGCGGACCGTTGGGGACGAGGCCGCTCGGCACTCTTCGCCGCCCACTAGCCCGCTCGACGCTCGATTCGCCGCGCCTGCGGGGCCCGCCGGGGGTGAAGCGCGCGTGCGCACTGGGCGAGAGTGGCGCGCTTGCGCACTGGGCGAGCCCAGACCCGGACTCGAAGGGTGTGCAGCAGACCGTCAGCTGTCTGTGATTCACGGCTGGGCAACCCAGGGTTCCTGGGCACACTAGACACACGTCTGCCTTTTTAAGACGACACAGTGGGACCGTATGGGCATTTTGCTCAGTGTGGCGCGGACGCCACCCCACCCTCCGGCCCGCGCGGCCCAGCCGAGCCTGCTCTGCAGCGGGACACGGCTCCAGGTCAAGGGAGTGACCCGGACGGTTAACCGGCAGGAAGGCAACTCTGCTGCCCAGCCCCACCCCTTCTTCCTCCCCTCGTCTATATGGGAGTTAATACTCGTGGACAGAAGGGTACTGCAGGTTTAATAACTGGAATTATGGTTCTTTCCTGTTTTCCCATGTCCGTCACCCAGCATTAGCGCAGTGCAGGTGACTCTGACTTACCCGGGTTGTGGGGAGAGAGGGAGCGCGGGCTCACCTGCGCCTGCGGCCGGAGGGCGTCCTGGGCTCGGGCTCTCAGCCTGTGGTCTTTGATACGAAAGCAGGGGCCGTCTGGTCTCGAGTATCCAGAGCTTCCCTCCTGCGGGCCCTCGGGCTCCTTCGCGGTCAGGCCCCTGGAGGTCTGTGGACCGCCGGTCCCCAGGAGCAGGGAATCCAGGGGGTGGGTGTGGCCCTGAGAGCTGCAGGGCGCGCCCTACCCGGGTCCCCTGCTTCCACAGTGGAGAGGCTCAGAGGAATCAGCCGGCGGGGTTTCCTTTTGGAAAGTGTTGAATTTACTCGGGCATAATTTATAAGTTTCCTACATTCTTACCTGGGACCAGGCACCGGGCTGGGTGCTGCCCATGACCTCTGTGCATGCACACTACCCCACGACGTAGCTACTGTTTACAACCCACGTTTTACAATTATGGAAATTGTGACTCTGAATGAAGTGTCCTTCCCAAGGTCACACAGCACACAGTGGATTGCAGAACCGAGAACTACCACTTGAACCCAAATCCAAGCTCTCCATCCTTCACTGCCCACGCCTGGCTTGCTCTTCGTTCCAAGCCAAGCCCAAGTGCAGCAAAAGAAAAGGGACATCAGAAGTGGCAACAAAACACGACAAATCAAATGCTTAACCTCTGACCCACCCACTTCTCATGGGGAGTTGGGGCGCGTGGGGTGAGGAAGGGCAGGGGGCAGGCAGTGCTAACGCCCACCCACTGGGACGATGCACCTTAACCTCGGGTTTCACCCCCTCCTCGCCCTCACATTGCAGTAGGGCACTTCAGCCCAGTCACTCCTATCTTCCACGTAAAAGGAAAACTCTTCCATCTCTAAGTCTCCAGTCAAATGAGAGAGTCAAGGGACACACAACCTGACAAAGCATGTTCAGTTTCAGTGGGTTTTGTTTTTTTTTTACTTTTTTTTTTTATTTAAATACGGAGAATTCTTTCGTATGGAAAGAGCTAGTACAATCACATATTTGAAAGGAGAAACCGTAGGTACTGAACCGGAGGGAAGGGTGAGGGGTGAGTGTGCCACCATGGCCTGCTGGATCCACGGTTCCATTTCCCATCCAAGGTAGAAGCTCCCCCAAACAACGTAGAAACAAGCTGCACGTTACACCTTTAGCCATCGTCTGCCCTTTCAAATATCTGGTCTACGTGAAAAGACACACAGGAAAGGCCAAAATAAGAACAAAAGGAAACAAAACACAACAAAAAAAACCCGAACCCTTATTACTATGCAAGGCATGAGGTCAAAAGCTTGGGAGTACAGGAACCCCTTTACACAATGGAAGAAAGTCATCCACAGAGAGCCTTAACAGAAAGTTCCACCCGGAGGCTTTGTAGCACGCTGAAGACGGGGCCCCGGGGACACTGTACCATCTTGGAGACCACCTAACTGGGATGGAGAAATGGTGAACAGCAGGTTGTAATATCACTAGTCAAATATGCGCTGGTGGTCCCGGTGGAGGGCACGGCTGGGGGACAGAGTGTCTGACCCCAACACTGAGCCATTCCTGTCCGGGTGATCTGCTCGTCTTAGGTCCAGTTCACTTTTCAAACAGGAAGAGCCGGCTTTCTGGAAGTCTGCATTTCCCAGTCATCACAGAACAGTACAAACAAGTACCCTAGTGTCCTTGGTTGCCAAAGGCCATTTCCAACAGACCTTCTAACCCAGGCTAGCTCTGCAGGAAGGGAAATGGGACAAATGCAGATTTGAGAGGCAACATGCAGCTACTTGGTGGAGGGGAACCACACAGCAGGGAGGGGGCTTCAGCAGTTGGCCACACACTGCCTCGGCAGGCCAGTTCTGGGCGTGGCCATGCCCTCGTGTGCACCCTTGGCCTCCTCGGCCCTTGACCATCAGTCACCAACCTCATCAACCATCCAGAAAGCAGGTCCAGAAGACAGGAGGGCGAGGGCAGAGCCGGAGAGAACTGATGCCCGTTATTGAATGACAAGATGCCCCAATATCCCCTGGCAGTGGCTGGAATGACCGTGGCTTTGGAACTGGACCAACCAGATTTTCTGAATGTGCAATAGTCGTACTTTAGTTTTCCCCCTGAAGGAACCCAAAGCCAAAAGCGTATGAATCCCATGTTTGAAAACCATAATGATGACGATTAAAAAGGGGAAGCAAAGAGAACCAGACCAAATACACATGCCAAAGAAGTCTTCAGTGGGTGGACAAGGACACATGGACCCATGCTCTTGGCTTTTACCCCGCTAACTGATGTTGGACATACTGCAGGACACTGGCTTGCTGAACAACGGGCTGCACCATCAGCGGGCCAGGGCAAAGCGGCCAGCATGGGAAGGGAGGGTAATTTTAGCAGGCAGAGGCGCAGCGAGAAGACTCTGACACCCCACCCCCACCCCCAGCAGCAGAAAAGGTTAAGCGCTAGTCTCCACCTGTTCCCGCCAAAGGCCCAAGGCATTCTGCCAGAGGCCTTGGCATGGACACGCACTCTGAGGATGGGGATTTGAAGGCAAAATATGACCCTAAGTCCTACTACCTTGCGCTTGGCTCTAAAACCACATGAAAAGAGGAGAGAGATTGCACCTTAAGACATCTCTGCACTAAAAACTGCATTTCATCAGACCAAGGAAGGGACGGGGTGTTGGTTGGGCCCAAGGCCTGCCCTCTGCCTCCAGAGTTCAATGTAAAATCTGTATCTCAGCGGGGAAGAGACTGCAGCTTGGGCACACGAAGGTGGTAAACGCACTGAACTTCACATGCAATTTCCTGGCCTTTCCTGCACAGAATAATTCAGACATTATATATAAATAGAGCAGTGAAACATTTACTTTTTTTCACCTAGACCTACAACATCAATACATATAAATAAATTCTAGTGTTTTCTGTTTTTATTGGGGGGTGGGGGTGGGGAAATACAGGGGTAGAGAAAAGGGCTGGAGAACAGGTGACCCTTTCGTTTTTATTTTTTCTCAAACAGGAAGTACCGTCACTCCGATGGCAGGTTCACCTGAAGCACACAGCGTGAGAGTTTGTAACAGCATCCAGAACTGTCCTGTTCAATTTCAAAATGAGAAAGCCTTTTTTCCTTTTGACAAACAATGTGCACTGGAATTAGGTGTGAGGGGTCTGGCCGTGTTTCTAAGAGTGAGTGTGTGGCCTCTGCAGGGGCGACTGGAGCGGAGAGGAGCTCAGTCAGGGTGGCTGGGTGCGGGGACGGCAGCTAGGCACTCGCGGGGGAAGGGAGACAAGAGCAGGTGAGCCAGTGGGCAGCCCTTCAAGAAGGGCCTTCCGAGTAAAGCGTCAGGGGATGAAGGAGAAAAAAAAAAAAAAGCTAGTGAGAAGTAAGGCCTGAGGGTGGAGGCAAGGAGGGGAGCGCTGAACACTATCGATCAAGCAGCGAAGCACCCTTCAGAAAACCGGCCTCCCCGGATGACGCCGGAGGAGCCCTGCACCCTCTGCCAGGAGGCTGTTGCTCCCCCACTTCCTTAAAGCACTGAAGAGCAACAAGTGACTTCGGCGGTTCCCAAGGCGCTTCTTTCCCCGTGTTCCACACTGGACAGAGCTTAGAGCCACTGCCCGAGTGACTGTCACACACCTGTGGCGACACTGCGGGTGGACTCTGTGGGGCACGCCCCCGATCGCCTACTGCCCATTCTCCGAGGCAGGTCTTCCCTGGACCCGCCAGCAACGGCAGGTAGATGGCGCGTTAGTTACTCCCAAGAGCGTGAGCAAAACTTCAAATTTCCCCTCGCCTTTCCTTGGAATGACAGAATTTGGGATGATTTCCTTCTAATTCTTATCTTAAAAACAAAAGCCTAGCATAAAATGCCTCACACAGACTCTGACAAAGGCAGCTCTGCAGACTTACGAGGCTACCCAGGCTGTTCCGGGAGTCACCGTCAGCCCTGCAACCCATCCTCCCCTTGGACACTGCTCTGTCCTTGAAGAGACCCACTGCCCAGCTCAGGCCTCTCTGTCCCCACAGCCTGGGTCTGCTGCTGGGAGCGGAGAAAAGGAAGCTCTCCCAGCAGCCTCCCAGAGCTCACGCCTCTGTCGCAGACCCAACCAAACCCCCGTCCATGCGCTCACGGCCACGCGGATGAAGTGCACGGTCTCTAGTGACAACTGTCCACGCGTCCGTCACCACAGAGGAAGTACGTGGCTTCCAGTGACGAGCTGTGAGAGAGGTGGAGGGACAGGAGGACCCAGAGACACGGAGGCAGCTCAGGAAGGACAGCTCAGGAAGGACGAGGGAAGCTCGGAGGGGAGGGAGCGCGTGGGAAAACATCAGGCCCCGCGGGCGCTGGAGTCCCAGAAGCAGACACTGACGGGGGCTGGCGCTGTCAGTTCGCACCGTCCAGGCCAGACTGGAAAATGCCAGGGCCTTCTATCTCCATGATTCACCTCAGGTGCCCAGCGGTCAGTGTCCCCACCAGTTTTGAAGAGTTCAAGACAGAAATTCTGTGTAATTCTTATGCTAAAAACGGCGTCAACTTCACCGGGCCGGGCCGCCCATGAAGTCGCTGTGGTCACCAGGCCAGCGGCTTCCCGACTAAAACGCCATCCCACCTCCCCTCCCTCCCACCACCGCTTCCCAAGCTCAGGAGCGGTGTCTTAAGTCACCACTTCCTTTTGCAAGTAACCTCAAAGGTTAACCAACCGAGACACAGAGAGCAGGAGAGGAGAGGCCACGTTCCTACGCATCACCTCTTAAGGTATCACAGCAGTGATGTATCAAATGAAACAGGAGAGAGGTTAAAAGGAAACTACCGCAACAGAAGAGGGGTCAGGGAGAGGACGGCAAAGAACATATAAAAGTCCAGCTCTTACAGACGAAGCTTGTGTTTCTCTTTTCCTTTCTCTTTTGTAAAAACCTTTAGCTGCTTTTTAGAACAAAAAGCCTCAACTAAAACGGCCCTGCTGCCAGACCACTGTGCCCAGGGATGGAAAGCGGGGAGGGAAGGAAGCTCGGTGGAGGGCGCCGTGGCCGCCAGAAGCAGGATGAGGAGGGGAGGGCGGGGTTAATCTGCACGGCACGACGGCTCGGTCACTCCACGGTCGTGGCGCAAAGGAGGCGGGAATGGAGTCATTTGCTTTTTTGTTTTTTTCGTGTTAAAGCCAAGCAGGTCAATGCCACAGATCCACGGGTGCAAGCTGGTTGGACAACGGAGCTTTCAGGAGTGGAGGAGAGCAGGGAGATCTCGCAGTCCGGGCCAGGTCGGTGGACGGTGGATCCACCTGGGAGACTCCCCAGCGTCCGGTGGCAGCGAGGTCGAGGGGCGGCAGTCCTTCCGGGCAGGCCAGGCCCAGCATCTTCAGGCCTTGCTCTCCTCCACCTTCACCGCCCGGGGCTTGATCGCTCCAGTTCGCTTCAGCTGGGAAGCGGCTGAGGGGGCCTCCTGCAGCTTCACGGCTCCCAGGCTGGGCTTTTCATCCACTCGTTGTTTTGCCTTTGGACAGACGGATGGGGACAAAGAAAGTTACCCTTACGCAGACACACCTGCCAGGATCCGCGGTCCCACCACCCGCTTCCTGCTCCTGAGTCAGAGGAAAGCCACCCTAAGAAGCCCATCCTTCGGTCGAAGGACCAAACTCAGAAGTGACTGGCCTGGGAAGGACGCTGGCATGAGGCTGCTCTGGTCCCTCCCACGGGCGCTGAGCGCAGTGATTCGGAGCCGTGGGAGGACCCCGGGTCCTCCGGGAAGCATTCTGCACTGCCCAGGGGCCTCTGCAGGCGGCACACCCAAGGCCGCCTAGAGGGACCTTTTTCAAATCAGTGCACCCCACGCCCCTCAGAGCTCCCGACTGTGCTGAGGGGGCGCAGGGCCTCTCGCCCAACTTGGTCTCCCAGATCTTCCACCCTCCCCGACTCCCACGGTGTGGAAACCTTTCCCCAAGCCCCTAGTTTGACCTCCAGAGCCGCGGTCAGGGTCCCGTCACTCTGCAGCTCTGCACAGTGAGGTGTGTCGCAGAGTGAGCAGCCTGCCTTCGGCCCCTCATACAGTGGGGGGAGCTCTGAAGAAGGCTCTAGAAGCTCAGTCCAAGCAACTCAAAGAGCGACCCTCGGGGAACCACGTTAGGAGATGTGAAATGAACAATCGAGCTTCCAGCTCCACCATCCAGGAGTGCTGTTTTACTAACACCCCCGCCTGACGAGCCTGAGCTCTGGAGCCTGGTCACATTTGAGAGGAGTGAAGAGAACCACGCTGAAGGCCAAGACGCCGAGAGACCCGTCTCGTTATAAAACGGGGAAACGTCATTCCGTCTGGATCCCACCCGGCCAAGACGAGGACGAGACACAGCACTTACGAGGCCAGCACGCGCAGGCACAGACGCCAGGCACGCACACGCACGCACACCCCCGCTTCTAGAGCTGACCCACGGGCCTAAGCAGGTCCCAGCGCCTTCACAGCCCAATGGCTGCAGAGGGAGAGTCCACCTTCCGGCACCACCTCCTCAGGGGAACCCGCACCCTCCCTTCTCTGCGGACAAGGAAGGACCCAGACGCCCGCCAAGAGGAGAAGTGCCTTCTCCGGGGGGGCTCGGGCTCCCCGGCTCCCACGCCATGCTCTAAGCGCCAGGGCTCGTCTCTCTAAGAGGAGCACACAAACGGCTGGACAGTCCCTCCTCTTTTGGCACTTGGAGACGGGCCTAAGCGTCCGGGGCTGGAGGGTCTGGAAAGCCATCTTCTACCTGTTGAACGTAGTGTCCCTGCACAGAGCCCATGTTAACTGCTGATCCAGAGGGCTTCCCACTGGGGCTAGCAGAGCTAGGCCTGAAAAAACCAAAGGAGGGGATGAGAACACACGCGTCACCACAGAAAACGGAGTCAAGCCTCCAACAGAGGAAACAGACCCAGACAGCCAGAGCGCAGGGGGCGAGGGGGTCGCCACTGGGCCCTGGCACCTCCAACCCAGCTCATGGGGACACACCTGAGGGGCAGAGGCCAGGTCCCCACCACGGGCAGACACTGACCGGTCAAGACGACAGACGGACACCAACCGTCTCTCAGGTTTGGAGGGTCTAGACCGACATGACGCTCCAGACAAAAGGTCTATTAGCCTGACACGAGGGAATCCCCTGGCGGCCCAGTGGGTACGACTTGGTGCTTTTACTGCCGTGGACCCAGGTTCAGTCTCTGGTGGGAAACCAAGATCCCACAAGCCGTGTGGCACAGCAAAAAAAAAAAAAAATTAGAAAAGAAACAAAAATGAACTTAAACTCCAACAGGAGTTTAGACTTCAAAAAGAAAAGGGAATTTCCTAGTGGTCCAGAGGTTAGGTCTTGGCACTTCCACTGTGGGGGCCTAGGTTCGATCCCTTGTCGGGGAGCTAAGAACCTGCGAGCCGCACAGCGCAGCCAAAAAAAAACCCGAACGAACAAACGAACAAACCTGATGCGTGAGTTATGCTGAGTATCTGTCCAGTCTTCTCTTGTGGGGTGGAGGGTAGGGGTGGTAAAGAGAGATACCAAAATAACAAAAATGGAGAACATCTTTCTAAATGTGTTCCACCGACCAGACAACTAGCTCCCAGGGATGTTAATCAGGCGCTACGTGGAAAAAAGATCCTGGGGTCAAAATCGTTAGGTAGTTACGTGTGCGAAGTTCCACAGGACTTTCCCCCGGGGGCCACGGGCCGCTCAGGCCCTGTGCCGAGGTGCACCCCGACTCCCCAGCAAGCCCTCTCGGGCATGCACGCCCCCCGAGTAGCTGACCAGGGAACGCCTTTCTGACAGGGCATGCCTCAGAAGCCCTGTTTCCAGAAAAGTCAGGCAACACTGCACTGTAAAAATATACCAATTTCCCCAACCCCACTAAGACACCAGCAATACAAAGGCTACTAAGTAAGGCTTATATTTTGTAAAGATTCTCCACAGAATAAAACTGCTGCTGCCATTCCTACAGTGAACGGACACAGGCGACTCTTGTTATGTGAGCGTCCCTTTCCGGATTTGCCTCTGAGGAAGGCTCTGCAGCCAGAGGAGGCTAAAACCTGCCTGGGGCAGCAGGGGATCGACAGCCTCTCTCTATGCTTGAAGCTTCCTTTTTCCTTCCAAATCACACCCATGGTTTGGCGCTGCTGTCCATGTATATTTTTCTTACAGGTCTGTTATTTTGGCCTATGTGAAAAATATGGTTGGAAAGCAAAACAAAAGTCAGTCAAGCCAAGAGAGTGGGAATAAGGACAGGAAAGTAACGACACGGGGGGAAATTCACAAAAAGCCCTCTCTCAGGAAATGCAGCTGGAGCACGGACTGACGTGACCACGGGGCAGGACTCGGCCTCAACACTCTGAGCGCGACGGGGCAGGGCGGGCGGCCGTGCAGGCAACCTTGCCCTCAGCCACGCCGGCAGCCTCGCGCAGGGCACTGCGGGTCACGCACACCTGTTTTACTCATGTGCAGACAGGAGGAATCTCCAGGAATCTCCCACACGTAACAAGAGTCGACTGTGCCAACCCTCGGGCCAAGCGCCGTGTGCTGCCTCCCCAGCCGCACACTTCTCCGCGGGTGAGAGAGCCATCAGAAGCAGACGCTCCCTGACTTTCTAACACGCTAAGCCCTGCTGACCCTTGAGCATCACGGGTTTGAACTGCATGGGTCCACTTACACGTGGATTGTTTTCAGTAAGCACGTACTACACGATCTGCAGTTGGTCGAGTCCTCGGATGTGGAACTGTGGACACGAAGGGCTAAACGTAAAGTTATACTTGAATTTTCAACTGCGTGGAGGGTCAGCGCCCCTAACCCCTGCGTTGTTCAAGGGTCAACTGTAACTCAACATCGTGACTGATACAAAGCCCCCCTCTGAATCCAGCCAAGGGACCCGGGACAGTTACTAGAGGCGGAGACAGATCCCGAGAAGGCAAAGAAGGTACAGCTCTCGCCATACGAGCCCAGCAGCAGCAAGCCCTGGTGGGGTCACAAGGCCATTCAAGGGACATGTGGCCCCAGGAGAGGAACCCCCGCCCCCCACTTCCAGGGTATCTGCCCTCTCTGCCCGTGAATCTTTAAAAAAACATCTGGTGAGAAAGCTGTTAGTAGCCAGGGTCTGTCCTGACGCTATTATAACATGAGCCTTTCCTTTCCCTGCCTTTCCAGAAAGTTCTCCCATACCAGAACATTTTATGATGATGATTAAAAGCAAAGCCATGCCCCAGAGTTCCTGAGTCTCCTGTGTCCCAGCACTGGAACTTCACGGTGACACACAGGCTGACAAAGGCGACCCAGCCTCAGTGCCCTCGCGCTGCTCTCCCTGGGCCCACGATTCCACAGAGAGGGCTCGGCTGTGAGCATCCGACCCCCAGGGCGTCTCTTTACCTGTAGGTCTGCGGTGATGGCATGGAGCCTCCTGAAGAAACATTCTGTTTACTGTCGGCAAAGTGGAAGCCCTTCATCTCCATCTGAGAGGACTAAAGACACCGGGAAGTGATGGGCTGTCACTGGAACGCCCTGGGGACAGCTGCCCCCGCCACCAACCACCCTGGGCAGAGCCAGTGGGGGCCACGAGGGCTTCAGGACAGAGAGGCATCTCGTCAAGGAGCGTGCACGCCTGGCCTTCCAGTGCAGGCTGGAGGCAGGAGCGACCACGTGTGTTTGTTCCCTTGGCACGGGTTGGGAGGGCAGACTGTGCGCCACCCCTGAGCACTGGCCGCAGTGAACGGGCCCTCTCTGCCCCGGAGGCCACCCTCTGCAGCACCCCGGGAGCTGGCAAGGACTTCGGCCCCCCAGACCTCAGCCGCAGGCACCTTCCTCCCTGCCCTGCTCACGCAGGCCTGTTCACGTTGTTAGTAACACGTGACCAGGGCTTCCTGCCACGGGACTGAGAGGACTGGGCAACGAGTGGGCCACCGGCGGTCTGGCGAGGCCCGGAGCCTGCGTCCCAGACCGCCGGCACTCGCCCCCGCAACAGTGGTTCCTGACTGGCCAGAAAGGGTCTCCGAGACGGGAGCCCCACCCCACCCCAGGGCCACAGCAAGACGGAGTCATCCTCACCTCTCTGCTGGTGTTAAGGACCGAAGGCTGGGAGCCAGGTGGGAGCATTCTTCGGGGGGCCCCGACAGAGAGGCTCTGCCCCTGTGACAGCTGGATGGACTGCGGCAGGAGCAGGGGCTGCTGCCCAGAGCCGTACCGAGGCAGGGGCAGCTGGGAGCCAGGCAGCGGCATCGTCAGCTGCTGGACAACAGGGACAGTCAGGGGGAGGAGGCCACAAACCACCACTTACACACGTGTCCAAGAGCAACCGCGCATCCCACCTCACGTTCTCATTGCAGATGAAAGGAAGCAAGGCCTTCCCACAGTAGGACAGATTCTGGATAGAACACAGCAGAGATCACCCTAGACTGCATACTCTCAGTGGTAGGGGGCAAGCCTTAGCTGGTGAGAAAAGAACTCGGACGGCTAGAAAATAAGCAGGACAGCTACGGGTGTCAAGTGCGGAAGGCGGGCGGCAAACCCCGTGTGCGTGTTGGGGGGCGGGGAGAAAGGTCAGGAAGGTCTAGAAGCCTTCTCAGGAAGCAGTGTCCAAGCGAGTCCCCAAAGATGGGAGCTACACAGGAGGGGTATCCTTGTGCCCTTTTTCGCAGCACAAAAAGGCAAGACTACTTCATGCTCTGCCTCCGAAGGTGACAGAAAACAACTGGGGTCTGGGGTTTAGGGTTCCTGCAGTCTTGGAGCCTTCTGAAGTCTGTTCTCCTGAAGTCCAGAACGAGGTGCGAGAAGGGAAGGAGGTGGGCCAGGATACCCTCGGGACGGGGCGGGCGGGCCGGCCAACTGTGGTCTCTCGGTCACCTTCCTCTTCATCTCCCTGCTACTGAGTCCACAGTGGAGGGTCGGAAGGACCTATTGGAATGGCATCACTGAGACGTGGGGCAGCCGGACCTCAAGGCCTGGGCCCCTCCTTGCGCACAGCTGGGTGCAGGAAGAAGGTAGGGGTGGCTCAGCGTTTCTGGAGCGCTGGCATGGGGCGCGGTGTGTGAGCCGATGTGAGTCTTAAAGAGGCGCCCTGGCTGCTGTGCTGAGAACAAACTGGCAGCCGAGAACAGCAGCTGGGCGCAGGGGTGGGGGGTGGGGGGTGGGGGGTGGGGTGGAGGGGAAGAGAAAGGGCCAGACTCTGAATACTTTTCAAAGGTAGGGCTGCCGGGATGTGACGAATCAGCGGGGGCGTGGCGGAAGCAGGGATCCAGGGATGCCCCATGCCGGACCTGAGCAGAGATGACGGGCAGCCCACTGGGTCTGAGTTCAGGTCCAGGAGACAGAAATTCGGGAGAACCAGGAAGCGTTGGATTTGGGTCAGGCTTAGAGCCACAGGTCTAGAAAGAGGCCCGAGGATGGCGCCCAGAAGGCACAGCGAGTTACTGCCTGGGGAGGCAACGGGGAAACAGCAAAGGAGACCGGGAAGAGGCCTCAGGGAGGTGGAAGGAAAGCCAGGAGCAGTGTCCTCGGAACCCAGAGAGCGTGGTTCGGGGGAAGGAGTGACCACTGGGTCAAATGCTACTGATGGGTCAGTAAGAGGAGGATGAAGAACCGCCAGGTTCAGTAACACGGAATCTGCCGGTGTCCCTAAAGAAGCGCTCTGTTTCTTAAAAAACGAGGAAAGGCTGGGCTGCCTGGGGATGTGGCGGAAGGACCCTCACAGCCGGACGGCAGCACTGCAGCACCTCTACGTGCTGATGGCGGGAAGAGGACGCTAGCTGGAGCAGCTCCCAGGCGGGTGGAGAGGATGGGCTGCCCGCTCTCACCCCAGGGCCCCTCACAGGCTCGGAGACGTGGCGCTGGGAGCTTGCAGATGTTCTCTTTTCCTCGTTACGACTCATTTCTTTGGCGACACAGGATGCAAAATCACGGTGGGGGAGAAGGCAATGAGGAGGGTGGGGAGGTGCCCAAACGTTGGCTTTCCAGAGGGCGGCTGTATTTAACCTGAATCCAGTCTGACAGGGTCCGTTTCCCGCCAGCCTCAGGAAGCCGGGCAGAGGCGGGCCAGGGTTTAACCCAGGTGAGCACAGGGAGGGAGGGGCGGGGCGGAACTGAGTGCAAATGACAAGGAGAGGGGGACTCCCCTGGCGGTCCAGCGGTTAGGACTCCACGCTTCCACTGCAGGGGGCACGGGTTCGATCCCTGGTTGGGGAACTAAGATCCTGCGTGCCGCGGCGCGGTCAAAAAACCAAAAAAGACTAGGAAGTTGTCTGCGGCTCTGCTGAAGGGGGCGGGGGGCAGGGATGGGGGAGGGAGAATTAAAAGGTGGCTGGACGTGGGTCACTAGATGGAGGAAGTGAGAAAAGTCAGAGGTGGTGAGCAGGTAGGACCCTTCGGCCCGAGACCACGGGAGAGGTACAGGGACTGGCAGTGACCAGTCCAGACTGGAGGCAAGCAGGCACTGGTGGTGAGGCCGTGGAACTGGGGGCAGAGACCTGGGGGTGAGGGGTCACCTACAGAGACACCAAAACCCCTGAGAACTACAACGGGAGACGTGCTGGAGACTGAGCCACGGGCCAAAGGAGGGGAGTGACCCTCAGAACCGTCTAATGCACCCACGGGTCGGGGGGAGGAGGATGTGGGACCGGACACGGACTCAGCAACGTGGTGCCCGTGGCACACGGGGGCCAGCGGGGGTACAGCCTACGGGGTGGGCTCCAAAGCCAGGGTGTGAGGGGCAGGCAGGGAGAGTGGCCTCGAAGCACGCGTGTGCACGCAGAGGAGACACGCAGCCACCCCCACGGCCACAGCAGGAGGGCGGAGAGGCTGCAGGAGAAGCGGCGCCCTCGCTCTCGGGGAAAGTCCAGTCTCGGGACTGCTCACAGTCCCGACTGCTCACAGGAGGCGGAGCAGCTGGCCCTGGTCTGGCAGCCCAAGGACTGGTGGCAGTGGCTACAAGCAGCATGTAAGTCAGTGGGCATCACGAGGCAGATACAAGGGGAAACGATCGTGAAGAAAAGAGACCTAGGGCTTCCCTGGTGGCGCAGTGCTTAAGAATCCGCCTGCCAATGCAGGGGACACAGGTTTGAGCCCTGGTCTGGGAGGAGCCCACATGCCGCGGAGCAACTAAGCCCGTGTGCCACGGCTACTGAGCCTGTGCTCTAGAGCCCGCGTGCCCCAACTACTGAAGCCCATGCACCTAGAGCCTGTGTTCCGCAGCAAGAGAAGCCACCACAATGAGAAGCCCGCACACTGCAACCAAGAGTAGCCCCTGCTCATCGCAACTAAAGAAAGACCACGCGCAGCAATTAGGACCCAACACAGCCAAAAATAAATAAATAAATAAAATTAAGAAAAAAAGAAAAGAGACCTTGTGTTCTGAGGTGGGAGTGAGTGAATTCCTGACCTGCGGGAGCTGGGAGTCCAACATCTGGGAGGCGCCGAGCCCGGCGGCCGGGCCGAGCTGGCCCTCGTAGACCAGGGCTTGGTTTCCACTCATGGGCTGGTAGGGCGAGCCGGACTGGGGCTTCACCATCTCTAAGGGCTGCATGCCTGGGAACGCCGAGTAGGGGGGCTTCAAGGCTGTGCCTCCGGAGAGGATCATGGTGCTGGGCGGTGACAGGCTGGGGTGCATATACACCTGAGATCTGCAAAAGCCAGACAGACGGTCGGGGCAGGTGCACGACTGCACCAGCTGATCTCACGTGTGGGCACGCCTCAGAATCCCCGCAGGGCTCATCGCTCCAACACAGGCTGTCGGCTCACCCCCAGGGATTCTGACTCAGAAGGTCTGGGATGGGCCCTGAGAACTTGCACTTAAACAAGCTCCTAGACGGTGCTGCTGGTCTCGGGCCCACGGTTTGAGCATCACTGGATTGAACAGCACAGAACAGGAGACACTGAAAGAGTGGGCCAGAGGCGGCAAGGTACGGCGGCGAGGCGGGAGAGCAGGGAGGGGGCCGGAGGACACAGAGAGCAAGGGCAAGGCCGGGCCACACCCCGCCCACACCCGCCCCCAAGCGGGGCAGCGCAGAGCAGCAGCCGGCAAAGGGAAAAGGCCCACAGGCCGGGAAGGCAGAAAGCCCTGTTGCGAGCTGCCAGCCCCCAAGTCCTGGCGTCTCACCTGAAGGGCTGTAAGGAGCTGAAGATCTCCTGAGACTGGGAGACGGGGAGCCCGCCCCTCAGCCCGAGCTGGGCTTGAGCTTGCAGAGACGTGTGAAGGGAAATCGGGATCTGCTGGGCAGCGGCAGCCTGTGGACGGCGGGCCAGGCCATCATCGCGCTGCCCTCCAGGCTGACGCTCACCCCCGCCTCCCACCCCCGCCCGCCCTTCTCCACGGGCAGCCAACACCGCCCACGATGCAAACTCATGTCCTGCCTGTGCTTCCTTCACTCTTGGGAGAAAGCAGAAAACTGGCAGCAATCCCAAAGCAGGGCACATCCCTATACTGGATTCTGTACAGTGGTGGAAACACTGGCTACACGTATCAACAGAGGTGGGTTTCAGAAACGCAACGGTGGATGGAAAATGTGCGTGAAGAAGAAAAACACGTGCAGTATGATCCAGTTATGCGAAGAGCGAGGTCTTGCAAAACCAAACAACGTAATACGTAAGAATATGCTATGAACAGAGATCAGGACAGGCCAAGTCCTCCGTCCCCAAAACAGCACTTCATCCTGGTCTGTGCGGGCACACGGGTCGGCGGGGCTGCAGGACGATTAGGAAGGCCCAGCACCAGCTTCAGGAGGAAGACTTCCAAAAAGCACCCCCTCACAGCACAGAAAGTGTGCCAATTCTGCGTAAAAACAAACACCTGCTCGCTTCTACAACTACCTCTTTCTAACGCATCCATGCCTGGGAGTCTAGGCCTTTCTTCTCTTCATCAGAAGGATACCTGATCACCAAAGAGAATTCCGTTTCAGTGAATTCCCCAGCTAGGGCACAGGAGCGCTTCGAGAAGGGAAAGCTAAGCAGAGTCTGGAGCACTCAGCTCCATCCTCCTCCTCGTCTCTCATGTACTCATCCAGTAAATACTGACTGGCTGCCATACGTGCCAGGTACTGAGCGTTAACGCGAGGGGCACAAAAAATGAGACACACCACGAACAAATAAATGAAGAAGGTAGGTAACTACACCGTGTGCTGCACCCCTCCCCCACCCCCGCGCGGGGCCACCTGGCTCGCTGTCATCACCTGTTGGTAACTCTGCTGCTGAGGTATCGTCTGAGGAACCAACCGGGGCTGACTTGCAAACACATGGCCATCCAGGTAGAGAGGTGGCAGGTGGTTGCCTGGAAACAGAATCCGAGGGGGTGAAACAGGATCAAGTCTCACTGTTCCAGAAGGTGCTGGGAATCAGTGGGAGGAGGGAGTGTGTGCACTGCTGACCCTGTGCTCCTGCGTGGCCCAGGGCCCAGGAAGAGGGGCTGGCTGCAGCCTGCCTTTCCCACCTCACCCATTCACCCACGGCCCCGCACACAGGGGCCAGGGGGGTTCGTTATAAAGGAAGGCTGCCTGGGTCTCTCAGTCGCCTTCCTCTTCATCTCCCTGCTATTGAGTCCACAGTGGAGGGTCAGAAGGATCTATTGGAATTACATCACTGAGACTTTGGCAGCCAGGCCCTCAAAACCCCCACAGGCTCCCTTGGGGCACCAACATAGTGATAAGGATGGTGACAGGATAAAACTGGGCTCAGCTGATACAAAGCACTTCCCAGACGTGAGCTCGTCTCACTGGCGTGGCGACCCCACCCAGGGCCACCATCACCCTGTGTGATGTCGCGGAGGAGGGGGCACAGCTCAGAGAGCTGCTCATGCGGCACGGTCTGACCCAAAGCCAAGTCTCTGATCAGTCCCCTCTGCAGGAGATGGAAGAGCCTCACCAAAGTCGCACGGTCCTGCTTCCCAGCCCAGGAGGCAGGTGACCTGAGCACGTGGGAAGCTACGACCCCCAGCCTAGAACACGCCCCCCTCTACACACTCCTTAAGTCAAGGCGGGGGTGGTACTCAGGGCTGAGAATCCAGCCTTTCTCTCGAGTGAATGGAGAAGGCTCCCTGAGCTGGCGCGCGGGGGAGATACCTGGAAGAGACGCAGAAGGTGCGACCGAGGCCACGGGCATGGGAGGCATGGAGACCCCACCGAAGGAGCTGTAGGTGACCCCGCTGGAGGCTCCCCCGGAGGATGGGGGCTGCAGGCCCGAGCCAGTGCCTCCTGGAGAGCTCTGCTCCGGCAAACTGGGTGAGTTCTCCCAAGCCTTGCGCGCAGACTCCATCTTCAGAAGCAAGGAGGTGGGGGAGACGAAAATTACCGTCCGGGAGGCAGCGGACAGCACAAGTTAAGCCCGGGGAGGTGGGCGGGGCCGCCCGCTCCTGCCCCTTCACAAGCCAAGGCACCGGTGGCCCCGCCTTGCTCGGGGCCAGTGTTACCTTCAGAGTGAGGTCAGCGGTGGGGAAGGACATCTGGGAGAGGCCAATGGCCCTCTGGATGTGATGATCGCGCCGGAGGATGGGAATACTCTGTGCCAACCCAGCCTGAAGGGGAAGGAGACCACGGGACACTGACGGGCCCAGAGAAAGCGAGACGACGTGTCCAAACGCGCCTTCCATTTTGGTCGTGTGCACTCGAGACCCCTCCAAATGGCTGCCTCCACCGACTCTCTTGAAAGAAGGCCGTGGAGAGCCTCCCTCATCCCCGCACCCCGAGCCCTCCAGCAGGGCCGCCAACTGCCAGTACGCAGGCACCGCTACGTGGCATGGAGATACCAGGTCCTGTCTCAGCCCCCTCCCCAAAAACTGTGAAAAAGAGGTCCTGGTAACACATGTTCGGAAATGCAACTGCTAGGCCCTCCTCCTGCAGTGCCCAGCGCCCACCAGCACGATACGGGGATTCTGAGAAACCTCAGAGTAAAGAAACCTGTTTAGTGCAGCATTCTCAAACATGTGCGACCACAGAACCTGGGAGGTTTTAAATCACAAAGTGCCAGATAAACCAGACCTTAGGAGTTACATTCTCCCATTTTAAGTTCACAAAACCAGAGAGTGGAACAACTTGCTCAAGGACGTGTAACTTAGCTAGAGACAGCATCAGGACTCAAACCACGTCCGCCCAACCCCAGAGCCGTGGCTGGTTCGCCCCCTCTGGTTTCGGAACACCTCACGAGGCTCTTTTTGCCCAGGGCCTGCTGGCACGGGGACGACAGAGCTGGAGGTGGAAGCACAGACTTACGTTACTGGCCAACGCGTCCTGAAGTTTGACAACTGGATTCCCCGCGGGACCAGAGGCAGAACCGGGCTGCAAGCTGAAATCAGAGTCCTGGAAAAAAAAGGGAACAAAGCCCACAGAAATCACTGTGGCTCACCTTCTGTCAGAGACCCACGTTATTGTGATCCACAGTCTCAGCAACTCAAACACCCATTGAGCAGCGTTCACCACATGACCAAGAGGGCCAGATGTTTCCCGAAGGCCCTGGAAAGGAGGCCGCCCCCTTCTCTCTGCCTGGCTCCCTGCTCGGCCTGAGAACCTGCCTGGTGTCCCAGGGAGACGGAGAACGTAGCTCACAGCACCTCTTCACCTGCAAAGCCACCCGCCACGCTCCCCTGGAGCACTGCCGGCGCCCATGTCCCTGCTCCTTCTAGGAGCCCACCCTAAGCTCCCCCCTTCCTCTCCAAGCACCAAAGGTGCGGGGCGGGGGGGGGGGGGCACAGGTAGAAGAAAACAAATCAAAGCCTCACCTTTGGATTGACTCCAAATTCAATGGGGGGCACTGGCAGCACAGAGTCCACGTGAATCTCCACCCCATTGACAGGGGGCACCACAGCCCCTTGCAGCCGCTCAGCCCCCTCGGAGCCCTTTCTGTTTTTCAGAGACCGCTCATTGCCGATGGGGCCTGGTCTGTGCTCCTTGCTCTGTCCTGAGCCTTGTTCGGAATCCTTGATGGAAAAGCAGAGAAGCTGAGACACACAGCCTGGAAATGACCCTGATCTCCAGCTTCCAAGGGACCAGGAGTCGGGGAAGAAGACAAAAGATACCAGCCCTTCCGCCCAGCCCGGCCCCTGAGAGCCAGACTCCCAGGTTACCTTCGGCTCTGACTGCTTCTGAGTCTGCTCCTTGTGGCCATCGGCCTTGGGCTCCAGGCCAGGCCCGCTCGCCTCCTCCGGTTTCAGAGTGCCGTACGGGGAGCTGCGCTGCGAGGAGGTCGCTGAGGACTCCCGAGACTCGGCGCTCAGGTCAACGCCACTGTCTCCCTGGCTGCTCTTAAAGCCCTGCTGTGCAGGACACAGGAGGGTCAGAGCTCAGGCCGCTCGACACGTCTCCCGGCCCGAGCCCACGATCACAGGTACGCGTGGGCCCTGGACAGAGACCACAAACCCACTGCGCGTGTGACCACCGCCAGATGCCGAGGAGAGGCCCTCACGCCGCCTACCCAGGGTGGGTGCCGCTCCCTGGCCATCTCCGCTCTTCCTCCCTCCCACACAGGCCCCTCCCGCAGATCCGAAAGCAAGACTGCAGACCAGTGACGAGCCAGGCTCACTGCCCGGCCAGGGAGAGCACGGGCGGGCCTCTGGGACGGCAGCGGACGTGAGCACACGCCTGGCGCCCGGCGGCCACTCACCTCGGCAGAGCCGGGCTCGGTGCCGGCAAAGGCAGTGGCGGCTTTGGCCCAGGAGTCGCCGGTCGAGGCCTGAATGGGGAGGGCTGCTAGGGAGGAAGAGACAGAGAGTCAGGACGTCGAAGAGGAACAACTAAGCCAGAAATACAAGCACAGGCGCCGCTCACACAAACCCAAGTCTCTGAGCCGCCCCCGCTCCCACCGCAATCGACCCATTAGCGAAAGAGGAGCTGGTCTGATACCTTCACCCGACTTCCCAACATCCTCAGGCGGATCTCGGTAAACGTGCTTCCTGTGATTTCACTGACAATGTGCCCTACCAAACACACCAGCAACTTTTCACTCACACCAGTTAGAACGCTCTATCACTACCTCTGCTGCAGTGAAGCTTTCTGCCATAAACCACTTATTTCTACACGTTGGCGCCTCTACAAGTCTCTGAAAAATTGAAGCTGATGTTACTCAACTTCTGTTAGCTCACAGACCACCCTGAGAACCCAACAAAAGCCATGGACCCTGTGTGTGCATATGAAATCTCACATGCTCTTCTTAAGATCCAGGGGCCCTCTGAAGTCACCCACAGACCCCTGGTCCGAGCAACCAATGAGATGCTGCGGAATCCTGGAGGGAGAGCGTGACTCCGGAGTTAGCCTACTCTGCTTGAGCAACACGGCGGGGAGCACCTTTGGGCATCTACACCATGACACCCACCACTCTCACAACCAAACTGACCGATCAAAATTTTATTAAAAATTATCGTACTTTCAGTCAGAGTTGCCTATTTCCCTATGTTATTTTGCACTGTGCTGGCAGCAAGCTTTTAACCAGGAACGTGAAGACAGGCCATGAGGTAAAACTGAAAGAACCAGGCCCAGAACCTAGGCTCCTGGGTGTTCGTCACATGGCTCTGAGGTTGTCACTTCACTCTGGAAGCCTCGGCTGCTTGGAATAAAAGAGCTGCAAATGGATGATTTCTCCGAGCTCCCCCTGTACACCCTGCAGGGCCCTGCCGAAAGCAGGCGTTCAAGAAGGATCTGCTCAATTAAAATGGTTTTGTATTATAAAATGAAAAATTACCAGAAAAATAGCACTGGGTAAGAAATTTTTTCAGGGAAACAAATTTTCTAAAAGGTAAAAGCCACCTTAGTCTGGTTTCAAACCTAAGACAGCATTTGGGGAGGAGCTGACAGAAACTTCCTTCTGCTGAGGAAAGAGCACACAGCACAGACAGGAAAGCTTCTGGACTCCTGTTCTGAGCAGTCGTCTGCTGCTCTTCCTCAAGGGAAGAAGGAAGGATAATTGGTGTGGGCAGAGTCAAGCCAACTCCCCGAGCGACCTCAGCTGGGCGGGGGTGGGGGACATCCTTTCCCATCACTGGATATGGAATGCTCTCTTCTCCACCAAATCTCAGGCAGGGAAAATCTGACATCTGTTCAGAGGCTGCAGCAGCACGTGGTGCTAAGATGGCATCCAACACCCTGACTCAGCAGAGGAAGCCAGGAAACAGGTAATGCTCCGTCTGTGTTCACGGCCCCAAAGCAGGATGCTCCCTAATAAGAGGCCCCGAGCCTGTGAGGCGGCCGTGGGCCAAGCGGCTGGGCCCAGACCCCGAGCTCTTACCCTGGCCGCTGCTCTCCCAGATCTCGGTACCCAGGCTACTGCCAGGCACAGCTCCATCACCTTGCTCCAGGCACAGGTGGTTCTGCTTTTTCGCAAACCGAGGAGGAATACGAGAGGAAAGATTTCGGCCTTTGACAGGTACCTAAGGAGAAGAAAGGTGATGCGGTCCAGCCTCGACCTCAGACGTGAAGGATAACAAGCTCTCCCCAGGAAGACTATCCCAGGCACCAGAACCACACCCCCGGAAACTGCTCCAGTGACGCTACAGCCAGCGGCGCTACAGCCAGACCTCAGCGTCAGCCAAGACTCAACCACGTGGGAACTGCAGTGCCAACCAAACCGCCCCCGGAAGCGACCGGTGGGCTGTGACCTGGGACTGCGGGGCAAGTGAGCAGTGCTCGGCCCCGACTCCGTTTCGAGTACAGAGTCGCCAACCCTCGTGACTCCCAGGGTGATGAGTCTCGTCCCACTCAGGCCGGAGCACAGTGGAAGGAGGATGGACTTCGGGGCTGATGGAGGCCTGCGTCCTGCTCGGCCCTGTTTCGGCGGGTGTCACCCCGGACCAGTCCCCCTCTCGGACAGTAGGGTTAACACCATCTGCTGCCGTGGAGCCACGGGGATAGCGGGCCCTGGAAGGCAGTGCGTGTTTAATAAACATGCCTTCTTCCTCTCCTGTCTTGGGCCTGATTCAGAAGCCCCGTCCGCCCCGGCCCCGCCCACGCCTCGCGCCCTGACCTGCACGGCTGGCTCCTTCCTTCTCCTCTCTTCCTCCAGCACACGGCGCTGCTTCTTGGTCAGGACTTCGATGAAGCCTTCCCCCACCACAGAGCCCACCTCACCCTCCTCTCCGGGGCTGGATCCGCAGTTTTCAACGCCGGCATCTGAACCAAGATTCACAAGGAAAGACAGTGAGTGGTTCCATTTACTGGGAGCCAAGAATAACCCAACCCTACAGACACCTGATCTCTAAGGACCGGCTCAGCTCAGAGGCCAGGCTCTTAGCCGGCTTGGGCCTCAGCATATTCACCAGGGTCTAGGAAACCCAGCTATGATTTCTACACCCTTCTCACGGCCCCTCTAACACAGTGTTACCTCAAATCAAAGAGGCTACGGTTAAGAAAACAGTCTTCGGAGACAGACATACTTAAGTCCCAGCTCCGCTCCTAACCAGCTGTGTGACCTTGCACAAACCACTCAACTTCTCTGGGCCTCAGCTTCCCTATCTTTAAAACTGGGACACTGCAGGGCTGTTATGGGGGTTCAGCAAGGTTGTGAGCGACATGAAGGCAGGAATCCTTTCTGTTTTGCTCTTAACCCAGTACGTGCCCAGAAGCTAAGATATTCAGTGAAAGGGCAAACCCGGCAACCCACAGAGGCGGCCACGGCTCCCCATGTGGCCCGGATTCTTCTTCCCCTGAAGATGTGAGGTGACACTCACTTCCATAGTTCAGGTCAAACGGTTTCATGGTCTCTCCCTGTTCGCCTGCCCTCTGGGCAGCCAGCTGGGCCTCCTTCTCTGCCTTCTCACAGGAGGCTTCAGGGATGTCAGAGGTGGCATGGGCTGCCCGCTCCAGCGTGTAGTGGCCGCTCCCACTGCTGCAGCCGAGACCTCCAGGCAAGCTGTCATCCGGGGACCTACAAAGGAAGGAGGGTCTCGTTAGCTCAGAAGTGACCAGAGGCTGGGGAAGGAGAGAGAAGGAAAAACTGCACATGCACGCACAGCACGCACACAAGCACAGCGCCCTGATCTTTGTCACTGCCTCTCAGCGTCCCCTCCGCTCAGCAGAAGCCGCTTGCTGGCGGTAGCGCGCTCTGCAAGCCCGTGTGGAGGCTGCCCCAGCACCACTGCTACGGCAGAGCCCACGGGAAAACTGCTCTCTCCCCAGCCCCTTCCCAGGGCTGATACTTCTGTCCTTTCCCACTGTGTGCCAAACCCAGTAGGGCTACAGAAAGGAGAGGGAGAAGGGGGAATGCTTAGAAAGGGGCTGCAGAACTTTCTGCTCCTCTCCTAAGACTGACCAGAGAGGAGCCCAGGCCTCGCCCTACCGCCAGCCCAGCTACTGGGGTAGAAATCAGAAGCAAAGCCAAGTCTTGGCATCTGGGGCCGAGAAGGCTAGTCTAGATGGACACCTAAAAGAACCCGCATTCTTCTGTGTTTCCTTCTTTGGGGGTACGGATTAATTACAGGCCAGGCTTCGGTGCCCTGAATCCTAAGGAGGCTGGGAGGTGGGAAGCGGTCTTCCTCAGCATGCTGGGGCGTGGCCTGTGCACGATGAGGAATGCAGGCTGCACAGCGTCTGCCCTGGTCCCGGGCCAGGCTTGGGCACTGAGCCGACACCGAGCAACGATCGTCACCACCCACCAAAGCCTCTAATTCTAAACGAGACGTGCTCAGCAGGCCTCAGGCAGCTCACTCCCTCCGCTTACCGCCTGGCTCTCAGCAGGCCGAGGTGGCAATCCCCAAAGCGGCGCTGCTTCTCGTCACTGTCGAGAAGCAAAGCCACTCAGGGAAGAGCGATCTCTGCGGGGGCCAGGAGGCCAGCACTGCCCCACGTGTTCCTGGAGGACGCCGCCTGGCAGCAGCCTGGAGCCAAGGAGCCTGGTGGACTGACTGGTACTCACGAGGGCCGTGAACAGGGAGCGCCCCTCTGTGGCGGTGGCCCCTCGGCTGGACTCCGAGGAGACACACGGGGGCTGAGCTCGTGAGACAGGGACTGGGATGGGCACCACAACCACAGGGGGACCGGCGGGGCAGGGGCTCTAGGCTTAGCTCTGAAGCCACAGCAGCAGCAGCACGCCACAAAAGAAGCAGACAGCAGTGCGAGAGCCAGTGATGGAGACGCTCACGGACAATGGCCTCGGCGGGCAGGCGCCCTCCTGGAGCACAACGAGGGGGAAGGAGTCGGGGCCCTGACACACGGCGGGACACGCATGCATGAAGTGCCGCTGGGACAACCGGCTAACAGAACGACAGCAACAAAAAAGAACCCGGGACTCTGTTTCCGGTTTACCTTTTGGCTTTCAAAGGCGTCCCACTCTGATGGCTCTCATAACGGGGAGAAGTCTCACCGCCACCTGGCCTAACAGGCTTCTCCCCGAACCCTCCCGGCTCCAGCTTCCGGCTCTGTCTGTCAGCGAGGGGTCTCTGGCCGGAGAAGCTCCGCTTGGCCAGCTCCTTCTTCTCGCCCGTGCTCGCCCCGGGCAGGCCGTCGGCCTGGGGGTCGGGCTCGGGCCCGGGCCCGGGCCCGTCCCGCCTCTCCCGCCTCTCGCTGAAGTCGCTGCTCTCAGAGGCCGTCTCCCACTCCTCGTTGGCGTGGTCCGAGGAGTTCTGGTAGGCGAGCTCGGGGGACCTGCGGCCCGTGGTGCCGCTCCTGTCCCCGGGACAGGGTCTGGGCCGGCCCGGCCACTGGCCCGCTGGCAGGGGCTGCTCATCCTCCGGCCCCCACAGGCCCAGGGCCTCCCGCTCCTGCCGAAGGCGCCGGAAGCGGGGGGGCTTGTCCTGGCGCGGGGGCCGTCTTCTCCTGAAGGGCCGGTTCTCGGCATTTTCGGAATCTGCCGCGTGGTCATCTTGGAAGAAGGCCCTCTTGTCCTCCACACGGCCATCCTCGAAGCCCCGGGTGCCCAAGGCGTCGGGGTGTCTGTAGGCGTCCGGGATGTAGTCTCTGTCTGAGGGCCGCCGGGCCCCGCACGTGTCGGGGGGGCCGGACTCCTGCCAGGAGGCGCCCAGACCCCGGCTCGGCCAGGGGGCCGCCTCCTTGGCCGCGAAGGTTCTCCGGCCATATGCGCAGTTGCTCAGCCGCGGGGGGAGGGCGCGCCCGAAGGCCCGCGGGCCTCGGTTCTTGGCCTCTGGCCCGCCGTGTTCCTCGGGGCACATCCTGCCGGACCTCCAGGACTCCCTGAAGTCACCCTTCCTCCCGGCGGCCTCCTCCCTCTCCGGGAGCGCGCCCTCGTCCCCGGTCTCGGCGCCCCGCTGCCGTCGCCGCTTGGGAAGCTCCTCGTACTCAGAGCCCTCGCTGTGGGTCTCACTGGCGATCCTCCGCCGGGGCTTGGCCCGGGGGAAGTCATCTGCCAGCCCGAACTCTCGCGGTCCCCGGCCGCGGCCGCTCCTCTGGCTGCCGCCATAGAGGCCCCGCGCCCCAAGGACGCCCCCGCCACAGAGGCCGCCGCCCGCGGGCCGCCCGCGGAAAGTGAACTCTCGGAACCCGCGGCCGCGGCCCCGGGCCTGCCCCCGGCCCCCAAAGGCCTGCTCCTCATCAATGAAGATCCAGTTATTCCTCCTGGTAGGGGGGGTGTGGCTGGCCACCCGGGCCCCGTCGGGCTGGCCATCGTCCTCCGGCCGGCTGGCCTCGCGGCCCAAGGCAGCACGGGCCGAGCCCCGGTCCTCTGAGGCGGCCGGGGCCACGCTGGCCAGCGCGGGGGCATTCTCTTGGTCCTGGTCCTCGGCCGCCTCGCAAACGGGCCCCGTCTCCCGAGCCAGGCGGGCGCTCCCCTCTCCCAGCTCCGGCTTCACCTTGTCGAGCTCCTTCTCCTTGTCTTCCACCTTCAGGGCCTTCAGGACGGGCTTCTTGATGGGGCCGGACCTCCGGGTCCTGCTGGTCTGCTCCGGGTGCTGACTGCCGGTGCCCCGGGCTTCTGGTGTCCACTCGGGCTCCAGGGCCGGCTGTTTGCCAGGGCTCCCTTCCTTCTCCCAGGAGGAGACACTGAAGGACAGCTCCTCCTGGGGCGCCTCTTTCTCGACCCTGGTGTCTGGGTCGGCGGCCTTCGGCTGGCGGCTCACGTCCCAATCGCTATACTCTGGTTTTTTCTCAGCCGGGGCAAAGTCGGGCTCCAGTGTGGAACACCTGAGGTTTGGGGTGTGACTCCCAGGCGCGCCTGCTTCCTGAACATTTTCTTGGGGTGGAAACAAAATCCCCTGGCCTGTTCTTTGAGAAGAGACACAGCTGTCAAAGTCTGCTGGGGCCTTCTTGTCAAAAGCACTCAAGTACTCCTCCCCTCTCTCCTCAAGGAGATCGCGCCGGGCACTTACGCCCCCTGACCTTCCAGGTGAGGCAGAGTAAGAGCTTTCATTCCTGAAAAGGAACCAGAAAAATCAGTCAATGTGATTGGAGCCTGGTTCCTGGGTTCCATGCTGAACACAGTTTAGTTTTAAAAAGAAAAAAATTTTTACAAAAAAGAAAAAGAAAAAAACATAGGCACCAACATTCGCTCTATCTTTAAACAGGTCTCAGAGATGCTGGGCCATGGGCTGGTGGCGGCCCCTGGAGTCCAGAGAGTGAAGAAGTCAGTGGCCGGTGGACTCAGCGAGCAGCCGGGGATCCTCTGGTTCACACAAGCTGGAGCCGGGGCGTCCGCGGAGAGGCTGGGGCGCTGGGCCAGCACAGCCAGCTCGCCTTTACTTTCACAGGAAGGAGCCACGACACACGCACTCAACCCCGCATGCCCTGTGAGGCCCCCACCCCTCGGCCCTGCCCAAGGTTCCGCGGGATTTGCCTCTGACGCCAGGATTTCTCCCGGGCCCTCAGCTGCCATCAGCGCCTCTCACACAAAAGCATCCGGCCATCCTTATCTCACTCTCCTTCCCCAGGGGGCACCATCTCCTGGGACAGGGCCTCTTCCCAGAGCCCTATCTCAGTGAGGACCTGGAGACCCCTCCTTCAGTTCCAGGTCAGTAGGACCAAGTTTCGCCTCACCTGACATGCATGTCCATGGCCAAAGTGTCACTGGATTTCGGGTGGGGGAGCGAGTAGCCCTTGCTCTGCAACGCCATGTAACCCTCGGGGCTCCACACAGGGGCTGCATCGATGGTGGTCACTTTCCTTTCTGGCAGTGGGGGCACACAGCTCTGATCCTCAGAGCGACAGCCAGTTCCACTGAGAGAATCCTGGGCCATCATGGGTTTCATCAATCCTGAAGAAGGCAAAGAACCAATCAGTCACCTCGTTTAGCAAGCCATGGGTCAACCACAGGCCCAAAGGAGACAAGCTGCCCCAACTCTCACATGGACCCCACCTGTTTAACATCACTGAGGTCCCATCTTTCTGATCACAGAACCTCTGAAGGCACACACACATGCTATCTGAAAGGCCTGTTCAAACACCTGTAAGGTCCAATGCTAGTTCCTGGATGAAGAGCCCCTGTGTTGAAGGCTATAAAAAACTGGCAAATGGGGCTTCCCTGGTGGCGCAGCAGTTGAGAGTCCGCCTGCCGATGCAGGGGACACGGGTTCGTGCCCCGGTCCGGGAAGATCCCACATGCCGCGGAGCGGCTGGGCCCATGAGCCATGGCCGCTGAGCCTGCGCTCCGCAACGGGAGAGGCCACAACACAGTGAGAGGCCCACATACAGCAAAAAAGCAAAAAACAAACAAACAAAAAAAACCAAACTGGCAAATGGAAACTGGAACCATCAAACGGGAGAGCTCATGGGTATCAGCGGAACGCTGGGGGGCCAGTCAGCCAGCAACGCAAGATGCCTGAAGGTCTTCTGCACAGACACAAGGAAGATGAGCTACGCTCCAGGGAGCCTACATGCGACAAGGAGCCAGCGTCTACCTGCTTCCAATCCCCTGCAAGAAGATTCAGAAAAGGATTGGGGCTTTAGCTCCTTTTATTTCTACCCCTAAGCTCGACAGTAACACTCCACATTTTGTACATGGAAGGGCAGTGGGGGATACACAAACGACACTAAACTGTTAGCTGGCCCGAGGAGACTGGGACATGCTGATGTCTCAGTCCTACCAGATATAAACCAGTCAGGGAAATGGCACCCCCGCCCTCCCCGGGCCCCTCTGTCCACGTCTATCAAACAAGGGGGCTGGGCTGCTGCAGACGACATTAAAGGTCTCTCACTGGGCCAGATTCTGTGGAGAAAAGAAGATCTGATTTTTCAAATACTTCACAAAGCTAATTATTGGCCCCCAGTGTTTTTCTGCCCATCTTTTGAGATAATCTGACCAGGAAAATGGTTCTGCATTAGACCAACGGCTTTAACCTTTCTTTTAGCTGTGGAGTGCTCTGTTCCAATGCCATCAATATATGACTCCAGCACAAAGTTAGGCTGAGTCAGGTGATGGTGGGGACCCTCTCTGGAATCCTAGAACTACACACCATTTATTAAGTACTGACTACAAGGTGTGCGGAACTGCTCCACACTGTACACGGACCTATTTTTGACAATATGGCAGCTCATATTACCTGAAAAAACCTCCTGTCACAAAAGTGCTGGACAGAACACATGAAACATTTCACTCGCAGAGCTCTGTTCCCCCAAAACCGGGAAACCCCCAGGGAGCTGAAACCACAGCCACGGCCAAAGCCACAAGCTGGTGCTCCCTAGAGGGGAGCCAGGGACACATCCATCAGATTTAGTAACCCACGGGCATGCTCCTAAATGTCCCCCAGGACAGGAGACGGGGCTTTTCCGCACAAGGCAGAGAGCTGCAGCTGAGATGCTGCTTAAACAAAGGCCCTCAAAGGGCTATGCCCTCAATTAAAAGGTGCATCAGAAAAATATATGCTCTTTAGTACAGGGAGATGACTGAATTTGTGTCTTGGCCTGGGCTAGGGTAGGGAAAACAGTCCTCCGTGAGGACTTTCATAGCCACATGCCAGCTTTCATGCAGGTCTGGAGGCAGGAGGGTGAAGTTCAGATTTATACCCTTAGAATGTTCCAGAAACTTCCTGAGTTAAAATAAAGGGTAGCTCTAGGCTGGCAGAAGAAAATATAAAACCACACTGGAGGGATATACCCTCAAACCAAGCTACACTAGATCCCCACGATAAATAAAGCTCTGCTGAAAATGAACTCACAATCCAAAATTACCAGAACACTGTGTGGAAAACAATCGCTATGAGTCCATGGTAAGCCCACGGGATTATATACCTTCCTCAAGAACTTCAGGTAACAAATTAAAATGTGAAGCACTAGAAAATTATGTTTTAAATGATTACAAGCATAAAGGAAGGAATTTAAAACTTACGAAAAATATAAGACACAAGAAAAAATGACAGATTTGAGGAAAAAATTCTGGTAATAAAAATACAGAGTCACTGAAATTAAAAACTCACTGGACAGTAAAAAAAAAAAAGAAAAAAAAAAAAAGAGCAGATCAGACACAGTTGGAGAGAAAAGAGAATTGGAAAATAGTTGAAGGATTTTCCCAGAAGACACCACAGAGGTTAGCTCTCTTATATATTTAAGAGACTTGGAAGGCAGAATGAGAAGGCACAAAATAATCTAAGTGGGCAACCTAGGAAGAAAGGATATAAAGAATGAGGAAAAAGCAAAATCTGACATAATTAGAAGAGAATTTTCCAGAAGTGATGAAAGACATACATCCTCAGATTCGAGCACTGTGAGTTCTAAGCAGAATAAGGTAAGGATACATATAGATATATACCTAGACACAGCATACTGAGAAGGAACTACAGGAGACCAAAGACAAAGAGAAGATCTTAAAAGCAGCCAGAAAGAAAACAGTAGATTACCCAGACACGAATCAGACACATGAGCCACAAAACAAGGAATACTATCTTCACAGTACTCAAAGAAAGTAACTGCCAACCTCGAGCTCTATACCCAGCTACACTATCATTCAAGAGAAAGAGTGACATCAAGACTTTCTCAGGTGAAGACTATCTACTGCCAAAACAACTTTCCTGAAGACCTGGACAGAATGTACTTCGTGAAGAAATAAATGGAACCCAGATGGAAGGATAAGCAGCAAAGAAACTAGTAAACATCCAGGCAAATCTGAACAAGAACAGGTCGAACAAAACAACAAATAGTAGCTGATTTGGTGGGCATAAAAAAAAAGTGGAACTAAAATTCCAGGCAAAAATAACAAGACTGATGAGGAGGTAGTTAGAGCTCAGGTTCAGGGTAACGATACTGATTAGCTTTTGCTAAGTCAAGGGTACATGTTAGAATTTAATGCAACCATTCACACAGTAGAAATAGAATGTAGAAGGAAAACAAACAAAAAGAATAGGAAAACTTATCACCAAAAAAAGAAAAAGAAAAGCATAGAAAAGAGGGATAAACAGAAAGCATAAAATAGGAGAGTAGGAAATCTGAATATAATAATCCCAATAAATCTAAAGGGAACAACTTCGGCAACTGAAGTCACAGAGCTTCAAAGTGGATAAAACCATACACACCTTACACGTACAAAGATATTCTCCTCCAAAAAGGGCTCAGAGAGGCCTGACGGTAAAAAGTTGGGGGAAAGATACCACATAAATACTAATCGAAAGAAAACTGGAATAAAATGATTACCAGGTAGAGTAGACATTAAAGGTAGAAAGCACAACTAATGATAACAAAGGTGCTATAAGAAGATAAAAGGAACAAGATGAAGTCCGGCTTCCAGACAGATAAAGCAAAAACTGACAGGTTTACAAGATTTGACAAAATCCACATCATGGTGGGAAATGTTCACACACCTCTTAGTAATTGATCAAGGGGATGAAACATTGTGATGATACAGACATTTGTACAGCACAATTAGCAAGCACGATGTAATGGACCACGTCCAACTGGAGAATACATTCTTCTCAAGCCCTTGAGTGAAATTCGACCTGCCACTTCTTTTAAAAATAAAGTTCTACTGGAAAGCAAACACACCCATTCACTCACTATTGTCTACAGCTGCTTTTGCTCTACAACAGCAAAACTGAGTAGCAGTTCAAAGCCTAAAATATTTATTAACTGGCATTAACAGAAAAAGTTTGTGACCGCTGGTCTATATCATACAGACCATGTTATCCGACCACGCGGCAGCCACATTAGAAATTAACACCATAAAGATGGTATTAACACTTTACATTTGGAAATTTTACAACATGCCATAAAAAGTCACTCAAAAAAAGATAAAATCAGACTAACATTTAGAACTGTACGATAATAAAAATGTATCTTAAAACTCATAGAGGCTCATAGCTCAGGTGAGACTTAAATACATGAGAAAAGTCAGAAACTAATGAGCTCATCAACATAATCAGTTAGAAAAAGAACAAAATACTTTCAATGGAAATAATGAGGGGGAAAAGAAAGCAGAAGTTAATGAAATAAAAACCAAATAAAATACAGGAATTAAGAAATCCAAAAGATGCTTTTTAAAAGTAGCTTTAGGGGTTTCCCTGGCAGCGCAGCGGTTGAGAGTCCTCCTGCCGATGCAGGGGACGCGGGTTTGTGTCCCGGTCCAGGAAGATCCCACATATCGCGGAGCGGCTGGGGCCGTGAGCCATGGCCGCTGAGCCTGTGCTCCGCAACAGGAGAGGCCACAACAGTGAGAGGCCCGCGTACCGCAAAAAAAAAAGATAAATAAAAAAATAAAAAAATATAATAAAAAATAAATTCAGTTTATTTAAAAAAAAAAAACCAGCATTAAAAAAATGGCATTAGGACTTCCCTGGTGGCACAGTGGTTAAGAATCCGCCTGCCAATTCAGGGGACACGGGTTCGAGCCCTGGTCCGGGAAGATCCCACATGCCGCGGAGCAACTAAGCCTGTGCGCCACAACTACTGAGCCTGCACTCTAGAGCCCGCAAACCACAACTACTTGAAGCCTGCGCACCTAGAGCCCGCAACAAGAGAAGCCACGGCAGTGAGAAGCCTGCATACCACAACAAAGAGTACCCCTGCTCGCCGCCAACTAGAGAAAGCCTGCACGCAGCAGCGAACACACTATGCAGCCAAAAATAAATAAATTAATTTTTTTTTAAAAAAGGGCATTAGACAAACCTTGGGAAAGACTAATCAAGGAAAATAAGAGAGAAAACACAAAGAACATTAAAGAATGGAAAGACGGACAAAACAACATGGCAGAGATATAAAAATTAATTAAAGCAATTTACAATGCATAATCTTAAGGTCTCTTCCTGACGATTCTTTGTGCGAGGTACTACCGTACCCTCATTTTGGGAAGTAAAACTCAAGACTGGATATGTGACTTGCAAAGAGGTCAGACTGGAATCGAGGTGGGTCTGTCTACCTCCCAAGGCAATACCCTTAAACACCACACTGTCCTGAGTTCCACAGGGATGGCCCACTGGACCACGGTGCTTACCCGAGGGATGTAGGGCTGAGGGATAGAAATCCACTGGGGTCCGAGTGGGTGGGATTCGTGGGTCCATGTAGGAAGGCATCATCATCCACCTGGGGTCGAAGCCCAGCATCTGAGGATGGTGCGGGTAGAAGGTGCGCTGCGGGTGGGGCGGCGGAGGGCACACCGGCTGCCAGTGCTGCATCCTGTACAGCTGCTCCTGACCAGGGAGAGACACCCAGTTGGGCAGGTGCTGCGGGGCAGAGAGGCAGTGCGTGTGCACGCACACACACTCTTCCAGCTTTCCATCAGGTGGGAGAGACAACCCACCCAGAACAGAAGACCACAGAGGGGAGGCCCCAGGGACATTACAGCATTCAGGCTCTGGCTCTCTCCCAGGACTGACGGACAGTCGTGCCATCATCGCAACTGGGCCCTTAGGCTCCTCTGCAGGCTGGGCTTTCATTTAGATCAAACACTCTCCTGGAGCTGACATGTGACTGGCACAGCTCCCAGGGCATATCTCCCTGTCGGCACCGCCACCAGATGACACTCCTCCGCCTCCCCTCCTTCTGCCCCTTCAATCCACCCTCCTCACTCCGACGCCCTGACCACGTCAGGAGTCTTCAAGGGTCCTCCACAGCTCTGCCTCTAACAGCCCGAGTCCGACAGGGCTGCACATGACCTACAGGGCCCTGCGGGTCCTGCCCCACCCGCCTCTCCAGCATCGCCTCCCACGACTGCCCCGGCCCTCCACTCCACACACCTGCCTGCCCGCCCGCCCGCTTCCGGTCTTGGAAACACGCCGGGCCCTCTGTTCCCTCCGGCCCCAAACCCGCTCAGCCCTACCCATCCTTCAGGTTTTGGCTTAAAGAGCACTGCCTCTGCGAACCCGCCACAGTTCCTGAGGCAAGACCAGGTCCCCCGTCCTCGGCTCCCACGGCACTGGTGCTTCTCCTGTGTAACTGTTGTTGGTTGTTTCCCTCCCTAAACCAAGAGACTACATGCCAAGTTCACTGCAGTATCCTCACCTCTACCACCAGACTTGGTAGGAAGAAAATTCACTGCACAAAAGGACACACGTAGAGCATCAATAGAGTGTTAAAAATCAAGAACCTGGACCCAGTGAGGATTCATCTCAGACCCTGCTCCACAGCACCAGTGACCTCCAGGGCTGCCCTCACAACTGCGTCCCGAACCAGCATTCTGGCAGGATGCAGGTGCAGAGTCAGACAAGGAGGACACACCCTTTCCTGCCAGCCGGCTGGCACAATCCCAGCCTGGGCTGGATTCCCTGGAAGGCTCGCCAGGGCTCAGGGCACTTCTTCGGAGCACTCAGAACTCAGTGAGCAGAACTCCGCTGGTCTCTGCCCACAGCTCCTCCTCCTGTCTAGACCCCAGCTCCCCAGGGAAGCTGACCAGACAGTCTGCTTTCCAGACTCCTTCAGGCTGCTCTGACACGTCAGACTTCTTTCTAATCTTAAGGACGGATTTACCTGTCACTGCCCCACAGAAGAGTTACCTAGAGCAACTGTTACTACTGTGTCTGGCTCGAGTTACTCCAGAGATCTCTCCAGTCAGCAGTAATTCTTCGCCAAGCCCGGGAGTAACTGCACGGCGCCTGCTCACAGCACAATGCTACACGACCACGATGAGTGTAACTTACTGCTTAGAGCACAGGACATGGTGAGCTTCTGGAATGCTTCCTAGGAGCCCAAGGAAAGTAGGGTCTGGGGGTGAACGTTTTAAAGGCAACTAAAAGAGATTCTGGGGAAAGGCGGAGACTTTGATCTGTGTCTCCAGGGCACCCACGTTCTGAAAATTTTTCGATTATTAACAATAATTTACTGCACGCCTAGCTGCTGAACTAAGTAACGTCCACGCGTGACCTGTTTCCCACCAAAATGCATTGTTCATCAGTAATAAGCTTCACCGATTATGCCTGTAAGACAAACAACTGCCGGTGAGTGGTTCCAGCTCAGCAATATCACCAGGCCTGTAAGAGACTGCTGGAATTACAACCATTACCCATACGATCTTCCTCAGAGCAAAGAGTAGGTCCTTCGTAAGATTCATGGAGCACCATTAAAGATGATATTGATCACACCGGTAAACCAGTTTACAGGCATCATAGAACCCTCACCGCTGTGCCGAGAGGCAGGGACTCATTCCTTCCGCTTTACACTGACCCGCCCAAAGCCACACACAGCTGAATAAGCTGCACCAGCAGGACCAGAACCCAAAGCTGTCTTGATTCAAAACCTACAAACCTACATTCTTAACGGAACGCTAACACGCCTCTCTCGGAGGCTCTCCAAGCAGCTCGCAGGCCTTCCTTACTCCTTGGGAGGCACCCAGGGTGCGGCCGCTGTCAGTGCAGGGAGTGGCCACCGTGTGCAACTCTGGATGAAAACCACTCAGGCACCACTACCCAGTCCTTACCGGCGTAGACAACAGGGTCCATGAACTGCCACCAGGGGCTTTCATCCACAGGGGCTGACGCCCCGAGGCCCTCACCCCCGCACCCCTGCTGCTGACTGGCGTATACGAGGGTGGGTTTCTATTGCCTGTTCTACTGGAAGGGGGCGTGGGGAAAGGAGAGGGGACAGCCACTCCACGGGCAGGTCTGTTCACACCTACTGAGCGACTCCTGTTTACCTGCTGCTGCTGCTGGCGCTGGAACCTGGGCGGAAGCGACTTCTGGTACTTGCTGAACTCCTGCGCGGGGGACCCAGGCTCCCTGGCCCGCTCGTCACTGCCGCCGCTCTGAGCCACAGCTGGAGGAGCTGTAGGGGCTTCTTCCGAAAACGTGCTGGGGGCTTCCTGGGCAGAGAACTCGGGGGAGCCTGCAGAACAAAGAAGCAGGGAAACGGCCCGGTGAGCTCACCAAAGCTCAGCAGAGCGATGTCCAGGGCAGACGCTTTTTCCGGTTGGCAGTCCTCAAACCCGGCACTGTGCTACATGCTCCCCACGCACAAGCTCACGGACTCCCCCACATCGTCATCGCTCCAGAGGGGAGAAAACTAAGGGTCGAGAGATCAGAGGAACCGCCTGAGGGCACACAGTCAGCAGGAGAGCCGGAATGTGGTTCCGGGTGGGAGGGGCTCTGTTAAAACAGACCCCAGTAAAGCAGAGCGGTCGGGGCTCAACAAGAGCCCCACACCCACCCTCCACCCAAGGCTGTGTGAGCCGGCCGGCCAGGCAGCCCTGCTGGCCCGTGTCCTCATCTGTTCAATGAGGGCAACAACTGCACCTACCCCACCAGGCCTCCGGAGAATTAATTCGCTGAGACGATCCACATAATGCACTTAAAATAGTGCCTGACAAGAAGTAAATACTCACCACAGCCTCCCATATCACTCTTCTCCCTGAAAGTCCCTTCTTTCTTGCCCCATCCCAGCTTTGCATTCTTTTTTTTGTCCAGCTTTATTGAGATATAATTGACATTTTGTGCTCTTAAATCTACCGCAGGAGGCAAACAAACGCCAATGCAAAGCCTTGGGGACCCAGCGTCCCAGCGGAACACTGACAGGCAGGGCAGGTGCAGAGGGGCTCAGGGCACACCCCACACCCAGGCCCAAGCTCGCTCCCCGCCATCTACTTCCTGGACTCTCCACTGCCCCCGCTCAGTGAGTCCCTGACACTGGGCCCAGGCTTCACTCAGACTTCAGTGACAGGACATTTATTTACAGGAGGACAAGGGTCGATTTCTCTGAGTTCCTCGGCCAGAAGGGCTCTGATGGCCATCGTATCACCAATAAGACTTCCCTCGGAGAAGCTCTCAGCGACTGAAACTAACATCAGGCCCCTCTCTACTTGAGAGTTGGTTTTAGTTGATTCAAGAAAGTCACAAAAAACACAGCTGATCCCGTTCTTTAAAACTGCAGCAAGAGGCGCCCTCCACCACCTAACGCTGTCCAGCGTCTCTTGCGCAGCCACGCGATCCACTCCTCTTAGAATAACTGTCGGGGAAAATGGATGCTGACAGCAGGCAGGCTTCTTTCAACGTCCCGAGAGAGATCCCGTGCTCCTACTGAAGTCCTCCGGCACCCGCGTCTTCAGTCGAGCCGGGTGGTAACACCGGCAATGACAAAACCAGTGGCGTTGCCGTGAGCACGTGAGTGCTTTTCTGCATCTAGAAATCGCCAACGGCTTCGTGCACACGCTCCCCCGTGGGCCCTCAGCATGCGGGGAGGTACAAGCTCTCGTCAACCCACTTCACAGACTCGGGAACGCGCGCCAGAGACGTGAGGCGCCTGGATAGCTGGTTTAAGCGGTAGAAATGGGATGTGAACCCAGGCACCTGGCCCAGGCCGAGACTCTTAACGACCGGGACCCCCACACATCAGCTGTGAGCCACGGTGGTGCTACAAAGCCAGGGAGATGCAGACAACCAACCAGCGACACAGCGTAGGGTTTCCAGGTCATGGGACGGGGCCCTACAGCTCACCTCTGCGGACAGCTGGGCCATTCTCCTGTGGGGTGCCTGGAGAGCGGGGCGCCTCCTTCCCCGCCGGCTCCTGGGCCCCGCCCGCCTTCTGAGCCCGCCTGCACTTCTGGTCCAGCTGCTTGAGTTTGGCGGCACAGGCGGCCAACCTCTCCTCCCGGGCCCGGCGCTCCTCCTCTTCCCGGCGCTTTCGGGCTCGCTCCACGGCCTCGGACATCTCCGACTGGACGAACTTCTGCCTCGGGGGTGGCTTGTCCTCTTTGTCCTCGACAGACTGCTGCCGGAACACACTGCCCACGGAGGACTTCTGCCGAGAGGAGACGGTCTCAGATGAAATGCACATCAAAACCCGGGCACGGCGCCCCCAGGATGGGATGGGCTCTCCTTCCCAGGACCCTCATGCACCTTAGAGAGGCAGCGCGGCCCCGCGGCAGGCGGACCTGGGTTTCAATCCTGCTCTGTCCTTTACTATATTTGGAATGAGGCTTGGGTGAGCGCCAATGTTCTACACCTTAGTTTCTCGTTTTGAACAGTAATAAAGGAAGCCCTCGGGATTGTGAAGGTACATTGAGTCGTTTGCAAAGCACTCAACGCCGTGACAGACACGCAGGAAACACTGAGAAAATGGACGCTCTCACCACCACTACTGAGCACACAAGATTAGGGCCTCGGGCTTCCCTGGCGCCGCAGTGGTTGAGAGTCCGCCTGCCGATGCAGGGGACACGGGTTTGTGACCCGGTCCGGGAGGATCCCACATGCCGCACAGCGGCTGGGCCCGTGAGCCATGGCCACTGAGCCTGAGCGTCCGGAGCCTGTGCTCCGCAACGGGAGAGGCCACAACAGTGAGAGGCCCGTGTACCAAGAAAAAAAAAAAAAAAAAAAGATTAGGGCCTCCCCAGCTAAATACCAAGAGCAGGAAAGCACACACTCATCATCTCTTAGCCACAAAACTGCTCTACTGCTTCTCCCACGACAATACATACACCTCTGGATATGAAGAGCCACAAGAAATTGAAATTCACACTCAGACATAAGGTTTCAAAGTGATTCTTTATATATAAAAATAAATAAACATCTCTAAAAACATCTCTTTTGGATATTTCATCCACTTTTGAATCTCCCGCTCGTTGTCAGTTACTGGACAAACAACCAGGGTGCCACCAATGCAGCGTGAAAAACTACCAACACTGGGAAGATTTCTCACTGATTGGCAGGAAGTGAAGCTGCAGGCAGAACATGCAATAATAGATGACGGGCGTGTTTAACTGGACCCCAGCCACTGGAATTCCAATGAGGTATGACTAGCAAAAAAAAATACACAACTTCCTGTTTTGAGTGGTAGTTACACAGATGTATATAATTGTCAAAAAGTCATCAAACATAAAAAAACAAGATCTATGCCTTTTTGTGTATGTTAATTACACCTCCATAAAAGCAATATGTCACACAGTGACTGTAGCCAAGGAGTTTTCTCCTAAAAAGTAACTTCTCATAATCCAGAGACAATTGCTACAATCACAAGATTATAAACTTCTAACTTAGAAGCACGAAGGTACTTTTTACCAAAGTGTGCACTCTTCTCCTTTGCCCTTGACCGCTGCCATCTGTCCATGCTCCATAAAGGCTGTGCCCTGTCTCACCCCACGGCTCATCTATCCCATGACCTACCTTATCCCCTGGTGTTCAGTACATCCTTGCAGATGATCCTTAAGGCCTATCCCTGACTATTATTCCCTTCAGAATTTCCCAGAAATGAAACAGCAGAATCAAAGGCTATACTCTTGAGGCACATCATCAAGACTACAGATGTGCTTTTCAGAGCTGCCCAAAGATGAGCTATCATTTTATAAACTAAATGTTCTGCAAAATATTTAAAGTGTGAAAATCTTTTCAGAAATTTGGATCCATAAAAGTTATAGAGATTTTATCTTTGTTGACTCTATTCAGATAATTCAGTGTTGTTATAAGCAGATAAAAGTGAAATCTTCTTTTGAACACTGAGCAACCCCAGTATGTGAATGAAATTTGGACTAACTGCAAGGTAATTTACAAGAGTCGTATTGTGTCTATCTTCACTTGCGTCCCCTGTACCGAGCACTGTTACTTTATACCGAGAGGCGGAACAGGAGCCCTTTAAATAGCAAAGTGCATCGAAAAGGGCAATTCTGCCAAAGCGTATTTAAATTAACGCCTTCCCATCCCCAGCTCTGCCCCTCCTGCTCAATTCAGTCCGAAAGTCACGCGAGGTGGCAGAACAAGGCAGGCACCTGGTGCCCGGGAGTCAGAGAGCTCAGGGCAGGTGGTCAGAGCCCAGGGCAGGTGACGAGAGTGTGCACATGGAGATGTGGCTGGTGTGGGAGCTGGGGCCCAACCAAGCAGGGTGAAGAAGAAACCCCTAGAAGAGATGGCCCAGCAGGGAAATTCAGAGCCACGTGGAGGTGGGGTGCACTGACATCTGAGTGGCTGAGGAGGGCACCTGTGCAAGGGAGAGAGGGTGGGGGCAGAAACAGGGAGCCTGACCGAATAGGTACAAATACTAGGGACAATGGCAAACAGCTAGAATGACCTCTGAGGAACTTGAGATATCCTTGTGATTCACGTGTGTGTGTCACATACCTACACTTCCTGACTCTGTCCACGGAGAAGGTCCAGGAGCTGTGACACTCTAACAGCAATAGTACTCCTGGTGCCCAGATATTAGTTTCTAAATATCATTAAAGGCTGACTCCAGGGCCAAGGTAGCATAAGGACAAAAGGAGCTTAAAAAAAAACTTGTTCTATCAGAAAGCAAGGAATTCCTCAAAAAAAGAATGGAGATGTAAAAAGCACACAGCTGCCAGCTTGAAGAAGTTCCCAAATCAAAGACAATCTGAACATCAACAGAAACAATGAGAGCAACAGACTATAACCCACTGATATTAATTAATTAAAATTTGATGAGAAACAGGATATTTGTAGTCTCAGAGTAATTCCCCACAAAATTGCTATCAATTACAAATCTGGAAGAGTGTGTGAAAGTTCCATGGTGTGAAACTTGGTAGCCACCACCTTAATCAAGAGATCAAAGTGAAGGTTGTCAGAGCGGGCAGAGTGGAATCACGGTCACCCAGTAGGATGCAATGAGAAGAGTCAGTGACAGTTTTGAGAGATTCTAGCCAAAAAAATGGAAACCTTGAACCCAATCATGAGGAAGCACCAGACAAACCCGATTTGAAGTGCATTCCACAAAATAGCTGGCTTGTCATCTTCCCAGGTATCAATGTCATGAAGGTTTAGCAAAGGCTGAAAAGCTGCTTCAGACTGAAGGGAACTCAAGAGCAGGATACCTGAGGCAGCGTGTGACTCTGAACTGGATCCTTCTGTATGAAGAATATGAATGGGACAATGGGTAAAAGTGGGATGGAGTCTGAGGATTAGATGGCAGTGATGTATCAAAGCTAATTTCCTGGATTTGACTGGTTACCTAGAGTGAATGTCATGTTTTGGCAGGAAATAGATACCAAAGTGTTCCGTGGTGACGGGCTGATCAGGCTGGCGACTTACTCTTCAAATGGTTCAGAAAAAATACTCTTTGTATTACACCAACTTTTCTGTAAGTTTGTGACTGTTTTCAAAATTTTAAAAGAAAAATTTTAAATCAAAAAAAAAAAAAAAAAAA